GTTGACAAAGTAGTAGAAAATTGCCTTAGAAATTTATAAGATTAATGTCTTCGAAGGAGGTTGTTTTTATATGTTTATAAATGTATATAATCTTATCATGTTTTAAAATTTATGCTTATTATTGCATAAAATCATTAAAAATCATTTGTTTGCATTATTTTTTATTTTTATTTTTAAAATTAGAAATAAGAATGCAAAAAATATTATTCTTTATCATAACATATAAAACTATGATAACCGTTTTTTATTTATACTATATAAAAACAATGTTCCACTGCAAGATCTCCTAGTATAAATGTTTAAGCTTAAAGTATCACAATACAATTCATTTAAACCAAAAACTGGTAATACAACACTAAAGTGTCAAAACGAATGACAATGTCAGGAAATAAATAAATAAATGTGGCAATTTGACAATTTTTACAGCAGAGCTACCACCTGAATCCCCAGCGGGAAATTTAAATTCCAGTTAGGCAGCCCGGCGCCGAATATTTCTATGGTTGTCAACAATGAATTCAAAAATCGCGCCCTCGATTACGTAACTAAAACTTTAATTGGTATCGCTTATATTTAAAGTCTCACTACAAATTTTATATTTAGTAAACTGAAAATAATACATAAAAAATATATATACCGAAAAGAAACTAATATAAAATTATTTTTGCCAGTGCACATTTTACTGAATATTAAAATAAAATTATTTCTTCTTACAGACAAATAATCTATAGTTTCCTTGAAAATACGAAACTACTTAGACATTTTCTGTATTGTATATTTATAGTCGAGTTCCTCCCTAATTGGATCAGTCATGATAGAATAATTTTGATAAAACGCATTTCAGCTATTGTTGAGGAAAACTTAAATAAGAAATTAAATGCTGAGGAGCTTAACTATAATGATTATAAATATCTTTTTTTGAAAAGGTTTTGCAATGTTATTTTTATAAATTTATTATTATAAAATCTTTCAAATAATGTATAAAATATATTTATATTATTTTGGTATTTTTTAATGTTTATATGTTCTGAATGAATGTCTTACTGATGAGATTTTTTATAACCTAAAATATTGATACAAATCTTTATTGAGGAAAATATGTATTTTTTCATATTTTTTACCTAAGTTTATCCAAAATACTAGACGCAAAAATATATGAAAATGTACTCCGGTTTCATCGTGTTTTTATAGACAATTTATATGAAAAGGGGAATACATTTTTTATTTAGAAATTCTCTAGCGAAACAGCTTTTTAATTATGCATGATAACATTATTCTTTTGCTTCGGGCTGTTATAACCGAGGCCTAGGGCTTTAATAATATGTGCTAATAAAGAGTGGCTTTTTTAAAACAGAAAACGAACTTGCAAAATTAATACTTTATTATTTGAAAGCAGTTTTAGTATGCAGTGTTTTAAAGCTAGTTAGTTTTTCATAAATATGGAAATATTATCTTCTATACTTTCAGTAGCATTTGTATCAAATCGATAAGTAGTTGAGTATAGTTTAAAGTTGCTTCAAACTTTATGTTATCAAGGTAATTTGATGAAAATATAATTTTATTTATATAAATGTATTTTGTAAATAACAGTTGTACTAAAACGATAGTGACAAACTTTGAATAAAAATGTCTTTTTTTTCCTACACTTATTAGAGTTATTAAAATCTCTACATTATTGACTTTTTCAAAATCGGTGACCACAGTAAAATCGTACATAATTTTTTCAATAGCAAAGGAAAGTGAATAATAGCCTTTTTGATTATGCTAAATAGTATCATAGACGAATAATGCATATGTAATTATACTATTCAATTATACAAATCTAATTATTCTAAACAAAAAACGTTTAAAATTGTACAGTTGTTGTGGTTATATACAGGGTGGTTCGAACTGTATTCCGGAAACTTCGGTAGCATATTCTGCAGATAAAAATAAGTAAAAAAGTTCGAATAAATGTATCTCCTAAAATACTTAGTTTGGAGATACAGGATGTAGAAGTTTCATTTTTATTTCGATTTTTTCTAAATAATTTCTGAAGTAACGTCAATATTTGGACGAAAATTGGTGTCTGGGAGTTTTGTGACATGAGAAATTTGATTTTGATGTCAAAATGACTCCTATTTGTAGGGGGCGCCACCTACATGCGTTTTAACTGTTTTGAAGAGTAATAACTTTTTGTCCGTACCTGTATAAAACCATTGATTAGATAAAAAAATATACATTTTCACAACTTTTTATGTAAAAACCGTCTTTTGGTAAAAATCGCGACGAGCAACCGTTCTTAAGATATTTAGATTGAAAATAGTCAATACATGTAATTATTGACAAAAAATAAGCACGTTGTGTATAGTTATTTGACTGAAATAATACATTTTTATTTTTTTAAATTAATCATAAATTTTTCTGTGAAAAAATGATGATTAAACAGTTTCTGTTGAACTTTTGACAAAAAAATATTTCGAATTTATGATTTCAGTCTAATAACTATTTACTCAACATGTTTAATTTATGTCAATTATGACAGGTATTGATAATTTCAATTCCAAATATCTCGAGAACCAATACTCGCAGCGATTTTTACCAAGAGACATTTTTTACGTAGAAAACGTCGTAAATGTATATTTTTTTACTCAGTAGATTTATACAGGAATGGACGAAAAGTTATTACTCTTCAAACCAGTTAAAACATATGTAGGTGGCGCCCTCTACAAGTAGAAGTCATATTGACATGAAAATCAAGTTTCTCATGTCAAAAAACTCCCAGACACAAATTTTCATCTAAATATTGACGTTACTTCAGAAATTATTTGGAAAAAATCGAAATAAAAATAAAACTCCTACACCCTGTATCACCCTGTATCTCCGAAACTAAGCATTTTAGGACATACATTTATACGAACTTTTAATGTAACGAATACGAACTTTTCATATAAATTTTTCTGTAATTTAATGTATTTCTAGGAAGATATTTGACTGAATAGAGTGACAACCAAAATTTCTATATTATCGACTTTTTTCAAAATCGGTCAACTACAGGAGAATCGTATTCATTTCCTTCATCCAAAAACAAGAAAAGATAATAATATCCCTTTCGATTATGAAAATTATAATCATGCAAGAATAATACAGCTGTCATTATTCAAAAAAAAATGTTCAGAAAAGTTTAAAATTGCATAGTTTTTGTTGTTATATACAATATACGGTTTGTGTAACTTAATAAGTGCGAAAATATCAAGAGTTTTTAAAAAATTATGATGACTATATATTTTTTCTATAATTTAGTGTATTTGAAACTAGTATTTGACTAGAAAGTTATTTGACTAAATATAGTAACCAAAACTTTGACTTTTAACTTATTTTGACTTTTAACTTATTGACTTTTTTTAAAGTCTGTTGTTACAGGAAAATCGTATATATTTTTACCAATAACAAAAGAAAGAGAATCGTATGCTTTGCTATTATGGGAAATAGAATGATACAAGAATAATACAACTGTCATTGGACAAAATAAAATACTGCGAGAAAAAGTATAAAATTGAATATTTATTTTTGTTATATACAATATAACATTGTATAGTAGTATATTTTTATATTATAATAATGTTTAAATTTAAAATTAAATACAATATTCTATTAAATATTATGTTACAGAATCAGTAATCTAAATTAAATTCTGTGTACTAACATAATATAAAAAAATATTCTTTATTACAGAACTGTAATTATTTTTTAAAATGGCATTAGGTTTTGTTTTTGATGTTGCCACTTATATAAATTTCATTATTTCAAGCGTTCGTTTCCTATTGAACGAAAGGATCTTATTAAATTTTATTGTTAATTAAACATTTAATTGTTCAAATAATATCCTAAATTATTACCAGAAGCTGGAATTACTACCCGTAATGTTTTGGACAATCATTTATTTCCAGCGTAAAGTGAAGTTAATTGTTAAAATAAATTTTGACAAAATCCACGAGAAATATAAATTATTTTTGTGAATTAATTACTTTTAATATTTGGATACATATTTTTTTAAGAATAAACAGTTTCATGTATTTGTATTTTAATTGCTTTACTGTTCGTAAAGTATTTTTATTCTAAATTCAATCTGACAGAAGTTTTAAATTGCCCATAGCTATTGCGTCGTACCGCCTACTCATATTCTGGCGAAAAGAGACTTTCCTGTTGATCTTTTATACAAAGTTATCAAAATAAATCATTTTTCGTTAAAATAGAGCACTCAATTATTTTTTTTTCGATATTTTATATGGTTTGGAAAAAAAACTGCAAATAGAAAAAAAATGTTTCTGAATAGTTGCATTTAGATATTTTAAATAGTTTTTTCTTTGTCTTTGTGTTTTTTGCTTCCGACGACGGGAAGAGATATACTTCCCGAAAAGTTAAACATTTTTTGTTCGTCAGACAAATTTGTTTATTAGTAAACCACTGCTGATAATTAGTCTCCGTTTGGATTAACACCAGCAGTGTTTACAAGAAATAACTATTTTATTTTGTAGATTTTCTTACAGTGGCGTAATACCCATAAGACTTTTTTGGAGAGATAAATCCGCCACAGAGGTATAGACATTTTTAAGAATATGTCGTCTATAGAAATATGAATCATCACTAAAATAATATAATAATGTATATTATACAGAACACAATAGGTACTTATCATATCACAAAAATTACAACAATCTGTATAAGCGCCTGGCTAGCCGTGTGCGCGATGTGACGTCACGTCGGTTTCGAGCTGCGGCTCACGTTACGGGTGAATAATTAATTACTTCATTTCTAGATGAAGTATGTTATATTTTCAAAGATCATTGGCATCACTATTTCATATTCTAACTATTTACTCTAATTTCAAAAATGTGCAAATTCCCTAATCTCGGTTACTAAATGATTTCATTAACGTGTGTTTTAATTACACATGTTGCCCTGTACTTTTTAGAGTAATGCTGAATATCATCTTTTATATTTAATCTGTTCTTCTTTTCCAGGCGACTCCGGCTCGATCAGCGTGTTCTCCGGCGGTACCTCGGCGCCGGCCGCGGGGGGCCGCCGCTACGACGGCGTGCTGCAGCGGCAGTGGGTCACGCTGACGGCCGGCATGTGGCCGGACTCGGACACGGACCCCGCCGGCTCCTCTAGGCCCCACCTCGCGGCCGCCGCGGGCCGCCTGCCCCTCTTGGCCGCTGTGTTCTGCGGCGCGGCTCTGGTCGTCGCCATCTTGGGGGCTTGCCTGTTGTACTGGTGCTGCGTCATGCCCAGGAAGGATAATAAGCACTATTGTAAGTACTGGTAGCGGCAATAAGTTATTTATCTTTTAAGCTTTATCTATATATAACATTTTATCTTATTTGCTTGAGGGATGGTCATTAATTACGTGAGGCGTTTTGAGCGTGCTTTTTTAAATGAAGGTCCCAAACTCGTTCTTTGGTACCCTCAAGGTCATATTATTTTTGTTTTTGTTTGTCTCTTTTTAATCATTTTAGTATCTGTTTTACAGTTTTTGCTGTCACTCTTTTTTGTCTCTCCATTTATTCAGGTATAAGAGTGTTAGGAAAAAACAGTAAAACAGAAAAAAAAGCAGGAAAAAATAGTAAAAGAAACAGTAAAACATTTTTTTTCTCTTTTTGATGTCTATTTTACTGTTTTTGGTGTCATTCTTTATTCGCTATAATTTTATACAGGTATTAGAGTGACAGCAAAAAAAAATAAAACAGTAAGAAACAGTAAAATAGACATCAAAATGGGTAAAAATTGTTTTACTGTTTCTTTTACTGTTTTTTTTTTGTGTTTTACTGTTTTTTTTTTTCTGTTTTCCTGTTTTTTCCTGTTTTACTATACCTGTTTCTTTTTTCCTGTTCTAATATACCTGTATAAATGAAGAGCCAAAAAAGAGTGACAGCAAAAACTGTAAAACAGTTAACCAGACATCAAAAAGAGTAAAAACCAAAGGTAAAAACAGAAAAATAACCAAGAAAAATAGTATGACCTTAAGGGTACCAAAATACGGTTTTGGGACCTTCATTTAAAAAACACGCGATTTGGCGGCGAAACGCAGGTTGATTATCTACTTACTGAGTCTGTCTTATATACTAAAGGGGAGCATGTACCCGTCAAATAGTTGGGGTATCCACTGATACCCGCATTGGGGCGTTTTATGAGTGGTTGCCATTTTGTTGAAATTTGCATACTTGGATTTTGGATGGTTACAGGTGTTATTATTCCTAGATATGAGTACGACTTTCTTTAATTTAAGTTTTTTAATGCTGTTGTGTTGCAGTGTTTTAAAATTTAACGCAAAAGTTTTTTTGTATAGTTATAAACAATTTCAAATTGTGTATCTTACACTTCTTAAAACATTTTTATTTGAATTCTGCAAACAAACCAGATAATGCACTTTACCCTATTATTGACTCCAACCTATTCATGTAACTTTTACACCCTTAGATTTTAAACTTTTAGCCATATAAAAACTATTTATAATTTCGACATAACGTGCACTAAACTGTAAAACGTCTTTTGACAGAAATACTTACTTTGCCAGACGAGTCGAGTTTTAAAAGTTGAAATTCTAAACTTCTACATTTTCATCGTCGAGATATTATTTTTGAAAGGAAAAAGTAATTAAAGAACCAAAGTGATTTTTGGGCAAAACTGAGTTCCGGATTCTGACGGATATTTATATTCCGGGTTTCTGTGAATGATTTCGGGCGTAGAGGCAGTTTGATCAGAGGCGACTCGTCAATAAAAATGCTGTATATTGATTATCAAGATACATAATTTTTATTGACGAATTATACTTGAAATTTCATATTACTGGAAATACAGGGTCCGGCAATAGTGCGTCGGGCATCTGTAGCTCCTAGAGTAAAAAACTTGGGAATTTTGTTTAAGTGCGATCCTAAAGTATGTACTAGGATGTATTTCAGGAAAATATTTTAACATCTAAAGGGTGGCTCAAAAAAGTGTGAGTGGATTGGGATCATTTATTTTAAATCGAACACCTTGTATATTATTGCACTTTTGGCTTCTTTTCAGATCAATTTACATAATCCTAAAATTATGAGTAAATATATTTCGATAGTTTCAGGGAAATTAATAAATAAATAAAAAATATATATTTTTCAGCCTTTCTTAAAAAAATTATTAAAAATACAAGAACTGTCCTGAACTCAAAACTATATTAGATATTTACTTTAGACAGTCCGTACTTACTTTGCTATAAATATGGTAATCGTACATCATACATGATGTTCAAAATTTTACGCCAAACTTTATAAAATATAAAATAATTTTTCTTCGTTTTTTTTAAATGGAACATCCTGTGTATTATTTTTTCAATAGATGGAGAATTAAAAATGGACATTTTTTGTATTTAGAGTATTTCAAAATTTTTACGGTTACGCAGATATTCGCGGTTTTATATTTCATATGGCATTTTCCATAGTAAATTTTTATCAAAGCCACTCAATGATTTTTCTCTCGTATTTTACCGTTGAGAGAGCCATATGAAATAATACTGCGTGGTATCTGCGACACCATTAAAATTTTTGAAATACTCTAAATACAAAAAATGTTCATTTTTTAATTCTCCATCTAATAAAAAAATAATATATAGGGTGTTCCATTTAAAAAAAAACAAAGAAAAATTAGTTTATATTTTAGAAAATTTGAAAACAAAAAAGATAGAACAAGGGTTATATAAACTCTAGTCTAAATTTTAGCATTACCTTAACAATTTAAACCATACTTGAATTTTTGTCACGCTACTGGATTGATACGCCTCACTTTTCATATTTGAAAAGTTGCGAGGGAAAAACTGACTGGCATTTTATAGTAAATGGTATCAATTTTCTCAAAATCGAACGTGTTCTACAAGACCTAGTGCATTAGAAGTATCAATAATAGTAATAATACATTTAGAAATGTAAATCTAATAATTCGAATATATTTCTATATTAAAGTGTATTGAAATATAATATAACCTTTTTTTCTGGCAAAAATAGAAAAAAATTGATTGGAGCTTATCGGTATCTGTTCCACGCTATTCAAGTCGATACCTAAAAAAGGAAATTAATCCAGACATTCCAATAAAAATAACTTTTAACAAAAAAATATAAATGCGTAGGTTTATTTTAAGGGTTCCTGGAATATTACTGAAGGCCAGCGATCGAGTTACAGAAATATTTTATGTTAATATAAATTTTCATATTTCTGGTAAATGAATACGCCACTATCTATCTAAGTATATTTGATATCAATTAAACTTTCAGTTACGTAATCGAAGGCGCGATTTTTAAATTCATTGTTGCCAACCATGGAGATATTCGGCGCCGCGCTGACTAACTGTATATTCTACTTATGTCTATGTATAAGCCAGAAATACATGCCACGGCAGTTGTTATTTTACAGCGGACTATGCCGATATTTCTTCCCTTTTACAATATATTAATAATTCATTCTAGACTATACCTATATTAAGAATTTAAATTTTCACTATAATATGAGAGGCAAAGCAATATATGGCAATATTTTCACAGATGCAGCATTTTTATAAGTTCTCGGGGTCGCCAAGCGAGCTTGCAAGCAATTTTAGTTTTCGATTTGGGAAAAGCCTAAGGGAATTGATATTTCATATCCGAGAGGTCTGGGCCGATTTATATTTCGAAGAATTAAACGGGCCCATATATGTTTCTGGTTAACGGTAATATGGATGAATTGTTATACCGCAACGCTGTGAAAACTGTTTATTCAGAGGAAATTTAAAAAATTGCCTATATTTTTGGAAACCCGTTTGCTACAGAGATAAAAATATCGATTATTATATTGCAGTAGATTGTAGATGTTAGATTATAAGGGAGGGGGAAGTGGAAGTCCCAATTTTCCCCACAGAATCTGATTTCATCGTTGTAAACCGTGTGTGACTTCGGATATTCTTGAAGTTACAAATAGGGGTAAAACATTATTTTATTATACAGTAGCCAACCAAAAAGCCTCCAAAAAATTACAGATATTTTGGAAGATATTTTTGTTATAGAGTATTCGTTAAAAAAATATATCTACGCAATGCATTTGCCACGATCCATAAGAAAGAAGTGTTATCATATACATGAGGGAACACATGACAACAACGAGGGAATACATGACATGGTGACAGACAGCTATCATCATGTCATGTATTCCCTCGTTGGACATACTTTACGTATCTAAGCGGCAATTTCTTAATTTGCCTCCGTAACATTTATTCATTTTGACATGATAAATGTCAAAATACTTATACACAAGATAACACTTTGTTCTTATGGATCATGGCAAATGCACTGCGTAGATACAATTTTTTAACGAATATTCTATAACAAAAATATTTTCCAAAATATTTGTAATTTTTTGGAGACTTTTTGGTTGGCTACTGTATAATAAAATAATGTTTTGCCCCTATTTGTAACTTCATTTTTCGTTTACAACTTAAAATTAGGAATATCCGAAGTCACACACGGTTTACACAAACCATTAATAAACGGAAGGGTCGTCATTGGCACGAGGTAAAACAAGAGTCGCCGTGCATCGTCCAACGATTCGAACTTGGAAATTGGCCCAGCGAAAATAGAGCTGCGACCGGAAATTAAAAATTAAAAGCTTGTTTCGAAGCGGTACGGGGGAACGTTACTGGCTAATTCGGAATTTCTGCCGGAGCACACCGGAAACCGGAAATAATAAAACGGGACATACTAAACAACCGGTTTTTGGAGATTGGAAACTTTATTGCCCTTTATTTTCTTCAATACAAATTGGATGGATTCAATAAAAACAGTGACCTATATTATGATTTTTTTATGTTCATTTATAGAAGGTATATATCCTTGTAATAATTTGGTACCACACACTTGTATTTCGAGTCAAAATGTCGTTATGGTTAGGTTAGGTTAGTTTCAATTTTAAATAAACCATATGCGAAAATGTCAAAAGTTGACATGTGATAAGTCATTCTATTTAGAGTGTCATTTTCTATCGAATAAAGTAAAAAAATACCGGGGGTGTCATTTAAAAATTAAAAGTCACTTCCGGTGAAACAGGAAGTAACCGAAAACAATTGAATACGTCAATCGATCCTAATTTATATCATATACTAACATACCAAATATCAAAAAAGTTACAGGGACCAGCGACTTTTGAGACGCACCCGGTATTGGTATAGATTCTTACCTTGACGACATAGTATGTACTCCTACTACTACTCCTGCATATGCAAAAGCAGTCCTTGAGTACTCCTGCAAAAGCAATAACAAAAATGGCAAAAAAAACAGTGGGTAGCTAACAAATTACTAAAATAGTAAAGCAATTCACCAGAACAGAAGCAAGCAAAACAGTTTATAGTAAGATCTTGTCAATCCCATTCTATGTCAGTGAGATAGCCTGGCAAATGTGCAGTTTGTTGAACTATGTGATATACCATTGTCAAAGAGCGTTGTGGAAGATTCAGTCCCTAAGTTAGTAGACTTTGTAGAGAGGATTGGAGTAGAGAATGTAACCTAAAGATCGGAGGACCACAACAGATTTGAAAAGATCGCAAAGGCCAAAAGCCACCTCATAGATTATAATCTAGTGTTAATAATAAGAATATTGCAGTAAGATATGGAATCACAGCTTTCCTTAAAGCATAAATACAAAAATAGTCATACGGCGGTGATTACATTGAAAATAAATTTGTACAAAAATGTCTACTTCTTTTCTAAACTTTTTATTAAACTCTTGGTGTGTATGTCATCAAAATCGCTGAAGAAAAGTCGAAAATTGCCACGGCTAATTTTTTACTTTGACTTTTGATAAATGTCAAATAAAATTCGTAATTTTGTCTCCGATTTTTTACCTCAATTTTAGATAAAATATACTAATATATCTTTCTTATATTAACCTTATTACACAAATCACATGATGACGTGCTCGCCAAATTCTATTAATTTCTCTATAGTTCTATGTCCATTGTGTATAAGTATTTTGACATTTATCATGTCAAAATGAATAAATGTTCCGGAGGCAAATTAAGAAATTGACGCTTAGATACGTAAAGTCTGTCCAACGAGGGAATACATGACATGATGACAGTTGTCTGTCGTTTTTATTCATAGGGAAATTGTACCATAAGATCGAAAGAAACAGCTCCAGTTGACTTGGAAATGACGATCGATAACAATATAATTTTACATACAAATTTTGCAGCTATATTTGGAAATGACGCGATCGTTAACATTCCTCATATAATTTTACATAAAAATTGAATGGTATATTCTATTTTTTTTTCAGATTTAAAAAAATCGGCTTAATATGTTTTTTTTGACACAGGTGGTATTATATTTTATTTATTATATCCTTTGCAGTTTATATGAATACTTTAGAAGACTATTGTGTAAAATACTGTTTTCAGGTTTGCGAAAAGTTGACCCGAATGTGTCGTCACCGGGGACCCAAATTCCGGGGGCGCAACACCCTCCCCCCTACCCAGTGAGTCAAGCCGCTGTCTTTGCGGAGCACAAAAGGTTGGTAGTATATTATATGAAAATATTAAAACATTTACTTATTATTAGTGAACAACAGAGAAAGACAAAAACTTTACAGATAACTTTTTTTCAAAAGCTGGATATCCATAGAATTTTTTCGATTATTAAGTGTGCAATATTGTAGATGTAGATGTAGATTGTTTGGGAGGGGCAAGTTAGTTACTGCAACCTTATAGATCTACAGGACCTAGGGAGACACAACCCTTTCTTGAGTTATAATCATTATACAAACTCAGGGCTTTGACTCTTCTTCAGTTATAACTAAGCTTTGAAATAAGCCAGTATCTGAGACGGCTGACAGGTCCACAGAGCCCAGCTCTTCATCTCTGACATCAGCCGTACCAAAGTTTATGGCACGAACGGTTGTCGTCTCGGCGCACTCAATTATGAGGTGTTCTGGTGTTTCCCCATTTTCCCCACAGAATCTGTATTTGCCGTTGTTTTTCAGCTTCAATCTACTGAGGTGTTCATTGAGGAGACAGTGTCCTGTTAAAGAGCAGGTTCTTGAGTTGTAGGTAAGTTTATTTCCACTTGGGAAGAAAAACGGTTCTAGTCTCGTTAATGGAGTGTCTGCTTCTTTTCTAACTCAATCGTTTTCTTTTTCATTGCCTTCTATCCCTTGGTGGGCTACCCAAAGTAGGAGGACTTTATTTTCTTTACCTAATTTGTTCAGATTTTCTAGGCATTCTTTGACCAACTTCTAATTGGTGGTTACTGAGTTGATAGCTTTTAAGGTTGTTTGAGTATCGGATAAGATGTACAATTGTTGTTATATAGGTCATTATATTTAAGTACCCTATAAAACACTAAATAATTTACTACACAATACTAAAAACTACAATATGCTTCTTAATTCTATCAATTACTTTCTTTATCATCTTTATTACTCTTCCCACCTAGACCGCTTCCGATATACAGGGTGTTCCAGAAATAAGTGCAGGTATTTTAACTGGTTAGTGTAGTTCAACCCCAGAAACACGCCTATGAGGTTTTTTTCGCGAAAAAAAATTTTTGAAAATTTTTTTGGATTTTTTTTTAGTTTTTAGTAAAGAAAACAAAATTTGTTGATAATATGGCGACATAGGTATTAGATTAAATTTACAAAAAAGAAGATCCAGAAAAAATCCAGTGGTTAGGTTCGTTTTTTTTTTGGAAATTTTTAAAGTAAAATAACTCCGTTATTTTGGACTTATTTGAAAAACGATAAAGAGAAAATATGTTTCTTTTATCGAGATCTACCACTCCTTAAAATACTTGCACTTGTTTCTGGGACACCCTGTATATCCACCGATTACTTCTGTTTATTCTGGAAGTTACGTTCCCTTCTAAAAGTTTCTCATATCTTCTATGAGAATTTACGGCATCATAGTATCTCTTAATCCTCTTCATCTCACATCAATCATCAATCCTCATCATCAACTTCCAACTCGTTATAGGAATCCAACTCGTTACAGGAATCATCGATGTTTGCATTATCGTGAAATGTCGCTAAGCATTTTGTTATGACTTATGCTGTGTGTGTGTGTGTGTATTTTTTATATATTTAATCTAAATCTATATTCTGTTGCATAACACACTGTCAATACCCAATTAATTTGTATATTTTCTAAGGTGCGGGTGGGGCTACAGCAACAGACTAATAGCTGGCGGTGGCCCACTGCAACCCAATCCTTGGTACACCAGCAGAGTGATTGGAGGACCTCAATGTACGCAGTGTCCAGGAGTGTGTCCCGTACCAAGAAGCAGTAGCAATCCAGGACAGGTATCATATTTAATAGTTCAGAAATGTAGAGAAATTAAACTCAAACTTTTGGCTTGCAGAGTCAATTACATCCATCGACGTCAACAGTTCCAAGAAAGCCTAGGCCTGTAAGTCAGCCTATTCCATCGAGTGTAAATATAAATGGAGATATGGTGTCAACTAAACAAGCTCTGCCAGAAATTTCAGAATTTAGTCCTAATAGTCCTCAATACGCATCGAGTAGTAGTAAGTTATTAATAATACCATACGGCGTCAAAGACAGCTACGAAATGAAAATAGATTATACTTTTTGGCGAGGTGAAGCATTAGATGTCGTTTACTGTATCCATACTGTTCTTTATCTTTTAATAGGGCTTACTGCTAGGGTAGTTCAAAATTCGAGAAAAAAATATTTTTTTGGAAATATACTAGTGTATCTGGAAACGTCCTATCATTCCATAGTTCCATATTTTCGTCCAGAAAATTCTTAATATTCTTCGAAGAGACTTGTTGACCAAACCAAACTACCACGCGTAACCTTCCATGTTTCGCATCCATAAAGCAAAATAGATTTTACAATGCTGTTGAAGAGTTGGACTTAATTTTTTTTCTATATATGGAGGAGTTCCATACAGGTGCAAGCATGCCAATAGCTCTTTGTGCCTTCAAGATTCTTTTCTCTATATCTTTCTCCTTTCCCGATCAGTTACTTTCTTTATTATAACTGACTTTTCCCACCTTGACCGCTTCCGACATATATCCACCGATTACTTCTGTTTGTTCTGCATCGCTGCGAACTATACTTCCCACATACTGAAATTCATCAACTCTTTGGGTGGCTCGGTTGGAGAGGAATAGATCTTGGTTGTTGAGAGTATTTTACCTCATTTCTTTGGTTTTCGCCACGTTGATTTAAAGACACACAGATTGTCTGCATAATCCAGGTCTTCTAGCCCGCTTAAGAGTCCCATTGTATCCCTAGTGGTTTTTTAAATGCTCTGTTTAGTGCTACATCCAGAAAGATGTTAAAGAGCAACGACGGAAGTATACAACCCTGTTTTACACCTACTGCAATAAAAATTTTCTCCCCAACTTAACCTTTATGTAATACACAGCTTGTAGCATCATGATAAAGCATTTTAATCGTGCGGATTATTTCGTCAGGCGCGCCCCAGTGAGCATTTTATTCCTTTAAGGAAAATGTGTCCTAGGTGACGTCATTGTTACGTTACCAGGGCCTTCTTGTGCCTGATATGAAGCAATAATTGCTCACTGGGGCCTTTTTCTCTCGAACCTTTCCAGATGGCTATGTGTTTTGTTGTACCAAAGGCTCTGAAAATCTATTATTTCCAATAATATTAATATTAAAAAAAGGGGAAAAGCGGCAAGCCGGTGCACTATGGACGCATCCTAATGCATTAATATATGGATAGATATTAATATTAGAATAAAAAATTCGCGTGAAATAAACTTTAAAAAATGAACATTTTTGACGCTCTTCAATCTCTAATAGCCTGTTGTAAATTTATTTTCAGTATTGGACGAGTTCGGTTCTAAGGAAAAAGACGACGAACTGCAAAACTCCGACGAACCCACCCTAAAAACTCGAAGTTTGCCCGCTTGGGTGCGTTCCAAACCGCGACCGTTATCTACAGAAGACGATCTGAACGATCTGTACGCCAAAGTGAGTAAAAACTAACGCGAGTTGGTCGTTAGAACGGATTTTATTTCTTCTTTTTCAGGTAAATTTCAGTAAGAAGCGGAAAAATCGAATGAGGAACGACGAAGCTGCCATAATAGCGTTGAGCAAGTCGAGGAGCCAGTTTTTGCATAAGGACACGGACTCGTTAGTGGACAACGAAGCGGTCATCGTGTACGACGAAAGGACCGCCTTGTAATAAAGCACAAATGTGACAGTTAGAGTACTGAAAGCAGTGGTAAACTGCATCTAAAAATGACAACGAATAAGCTGTCATTAGTATTTCTTATAGCGATTTTATATCTGGCAATTTATTTGACACGTTGGTGTGGTTAAACATCTTCCATCAAATTTATTTTATAAAAATATCTAAAGAAAAGTTTGTTAGTACATAGTAGAAATAATATACTAGTAGTGGACTAACCGTTTGTTGTTTTTAACATCTTAATATGATATACAGGGTGGTCCGAACTGTATTCGGGAAACTTCGGCAGCATATTCTGCAGATAAAAATAAGTAAAAAAGTTCGTATAAATATATGTCCTAAAATGCTTAGTTTCGGAGATACAGGGTGTAGAAGTTTCGTTTTTATTTCGATTTTTTCCAAATCATTTCTGAAGTAACGTTAATATTTGGATGAAAATTGGTGTTTGGGAGTTTTTTGACATGAGAAATTTGATTTTGATGTCAATATGACTCCTATTTGTAGAGGGCGCCATCTGCACATAAATTAAACATGTCGACTAAATAGTTATTAGACTGTAATCATAAATTTGAAATGTTTTTGTGCCATAAGTTCGACAGAAACTGTTTTATCATCACAGAAAAAATTATTAATTTTCCGAATTTATTTTTTCAGTCAGATTTGACGTGTTTATTTTTTGTCAATAATGACATGTTTTACTATTTTCATTCTAAATACCTTGAGAACGGTTATTCGTAGCGATTTTTACCAAGAGACATTTTTTACGTAAAAAGTCACGAAAATGTATATTTTTTCACTCTGTACTTTTTTACAGGTACGGACGAAAAGTTATTACTCTTTAAATACTCTTTAAACTACTCTTTAAAGCGTTTAAAACATATGTAGGTGGCGTCTCCTACAAAGGGGTCGTATTGATATCAAAATCAAATTTCTCATGTCAAAAAACTCTCAGACACCAATTTTCATCCAAATATTGACGTTACTTCAGAAATTATTTGGAAAAAATCGAAATAAAAATGAAACTTCTACACCCTGTATCTCCGAAACTAAGCATTTTAGGACATATATTTATACGAACTTTTTCACTTTTTTTTATCTGCAGAATATGCTGCCGAAGTTTCCGGATTACAGTTCGGACCACCCTGTATATGTATTATTATGCCCAATTTTATTTTAGTAGAAACAACTTTTGAAAAAATGTTTTTAATATGATTGGTTGACCCTATAAAATAAATAACTTAGTAGGAAAACGTGAAAATAAAAAGTTCATTATCTAAACCATTTTTAAAAAATCATTATTGCCAAGAAATGTTATTACAGTTTACATTACACCCTGTATAATCAAACTAATGTGTTAAAAAATTGTTTATTGTAAAATTGCTATTACAAGTGTCGTGCATAAAGTTTGCATCAAATTGGAATCTGTATTGACGAATTTAATAAACAAGATTCCGACAACAAGTCCAAATATATATTTTTTTTAGTAGGAAGTGAATAACCACAACACTACAGAAATTCCATTATACATGTAACATTAATTAAAACACGTCTGCATAATACATACAACTATGATGACCATGTTTTAAATATTCATAAGTGCGAATATGCAACTGTTATAAATATTTCTAACACCATATAAAGATATTTAGCAACATTAAGTAGAAAGTGGTAATTAATATAGTCTGTCTCAGAAGAGGATACATGGCAGTGACAATTGTGTCTGTCATTTTAATTCAGAAGTAAATGGTGTTTTTTGGATATCATTTATCGGGATCTTTACTGACAAGTTGGCCAAACTTTACTGCTAAATATGTAACATAAACCGTACACTAGACTTATTAAAATATAATATCAATGTATATGCGAATACTAACATATCTGCATAATTCCTATAAGTATGATATACATTTTCTTAGAACGGATGCATAAACCACCTTATCCTACGTTCTCTACTTAAAAAATTATATATTTAAATTAAAACTCTGGCATCTACTTTATGAATTTTTATTTAATGCCAATATAGTTCATTATCAATAATTCATAATTCTTAAATATCTTTCACAAATGTTACGGTTTAACTGTTTTAACTTTTTTAACTCATTAATGACTTTTTGGACTGGTTGGGTAAAGGGTTGGATCGAAACATATTCTTGTAAATTAAACGCTATAGTAGATCTACTAAAATGGTGTCATATTTTTTTTATATATTTATTGGTTACAAAGTTATTCAAGGATAAATTTGGATTGATGATAATTTGAATATTTTTCAATATTTTGACGCACTAACAACTTTGTGGACTCAAAATGTTTTAAACAATAAAATTATGAATATTACTTACGACCTTACGACCTATACAAAATATCAAGAACTTCTATAGTGATAATGAAAAGCTCCACAAAAAATCTCTTATGAAATTTTTTGCCATAAAGTTGATATATAGTTGCGTCAAAAAAAGGTTAAAATTTATTATGAAGCCAAATTTATCCGTGAATAACTTTGGAACATTTAAAAAAAATAATAGTCGATTTTTTGAAGCAGTCTAAAAGTATATGCTCCAAAATATATAAAGAACCTAAAAAACTAACCATGTGAATGGGAATTATAGATCAACCATAAAATATGAAAATATATACCTCACACGTCACACAAAAATCTGCATATCTTTTTTACCTTTTAAGGCTATGAAATTATACCAAATTATGACATGCAAATATCTGCTTCCTGCATTTATTTATTCTGAAAACACTAACATAATGTCAAGTTAAGAAAGTTACATATTTGCTCCAACAAAAGTAGGTACTATATATGAATAAATAAACTAAGCTTAAAGAAATTTATGAAAAGTTCCAACTTTGATGCAGACCTTATGTTAAACATTCTATATGGACGCACATATGAATTTAAATAGGCCTATATAGTAAAGTAAGATGATTTAGATCTCTTTTTGTATAAGTATAGAGTAATATTAAGCTGTTATTAAGTTTTAAATAAGTAGGTATATCAATGGGAAATACACGTGTTTCTCATATACATCATCTCATATAAAACATCATATCTTATGTGACATTTCTAAAGACTAATATTTTTGACAAATAAATACATTAGGTACTATATTTTTTCTGTGATAAATTTTTAATTAAATTTAATTAGACTATTGTTAGATAAGAATATTGAATTTTAAAATCTAGGGTGCCCTGGATACGAGTGCATAAATAAATCATGTTATATTTTCTTGGATATTATACTTTTAATATATTAGTTTAGGCACCTCTAATAAGTATGGGAAAATAATATAAAACTTAACAAAAATCAGATACATTTATACTAAAATTCATCTACTATATAGAAATAATCATGGTTTAAAAATATTTTCTAGATGTATTAGAAATATATGTAACACTTAATATTGACTACGCAGTTAAATCCCATTGTTCTTCACAGTTGCACCTAAAACTGGATTTGCTTTTGTGTTTTTAAAAGTTTGTGTGTTTTATACCCCAATGATGATGCTAATTAATATATAAATAAAGTTATTACGGAATTAAAATGTTTGTTTGTTTTACTGGACGATCATATTCTTAAATTACTCGGTATAAAACTTCTATTTTTTTATGGGTCGGAAATTTAAAAAAACGAACAGCGCACTCTTTCAATTTTTTGGTAAACTTTTTTGCTTTAGTGCCATCTACATGTTAGTAGTTGCGTAAAAAATACCTAATTGTACAAAGGCACCTAGAAATGTAGATACCTATGAACTTGTTAATGTCAATTGTCAGTAGACGTCATTTTATTATACTCTTCTGTGGCTACATTACAAGACAAATTTTGACAATTTTTCTCTCGACTTTGTTTTCATTTTCAATTTTTGGCCAATAAGTTTTTGGGTATAAGTAGTAAAAATATAAAATACTACAATGGTTCTCATAGAAAACGACGTAGAAATGAAGAACGCCGATAGTCCTCCGGGCCCCGAAGCAGGTGATAGTAAAAGAGACACGGATTTGCAAAGTTTGCAGGAAATAAGGGAACATGCTAGGCAAATTGAAAAAGCAGTTAGCAACAAGGAAAATCGCTTTATCATGAGAATCTTAAGGTAAATTGTAGTTAATAATAATCTTTTCTAAATTTTGTATATACGATTTTTTTGCTTTTAAAGATGTTTACCAAACACAAGAAGAAAATTAAACGGTGTTGTATTGAGAAGTTTAATAACTCAAATTTACCCTCCGTCAGAAAGAGAAGCGTTACTAGCCTTTGTTGAAGAAGCAACGGGTGAAATTGATAGTTCACAAACCAGAACTAGATCAGCTACAAAGAGTCCAGTTCCTGAAGTAGACGTTTACATTAATTTACTCATATTGGTTCGTTTAATTGATACAAACAAGCTGGAAGAGGCTTCTAGATGTTCTCAAGCATTAATGAATAAAATAACGAGTCAAAATCGTCGTACCATAGATCATCTAGCAGCTAAATGCTATTTTTATCACTCAAGAGTAGCCGAATTAACAAACAAGTAAAAGTTTCTATCTATTATATGAATTTTGTTACAAGTATTTCTTTATTTAGGTTGGACTCCATAAGAAGTTTCCTACATGCGAGATTACGAACTGCTACCTTAAGAAATGATTTTGAGGGTCAAGCTGTTCTAATCAATTGTCTTCTCAGAAACTACTTACATTATTCTCTCTATGATCAAGCTGATAAATTAGTTTCAAAATGTGTTTTCCCTGAAACTGCTAGTAATAATGAGTGGGCTAGATTTTTGTATTATTTAGGAAGAATTAAAGCTGCTAGGTATTTATTTTATTTATTTGTAAAGATTTTGAGAATTAATGACTTGTATCTTTTAGGTTAGAATACAGTGTTGCTCACAAACATTTAGTTCAAGCTTTGAGGAAGGCCCCACAAAACACTGCAGTAGGTTTTAGACAAACTGTCCAAAAACTGTTGGTGGTCGTAGAACTTCTTTTAGGAGATATTCCTGAAAGACAAGTATTCAGGTAATTTGAGCTTAACGAGTTGAATGCAACTAAATTTTTTATATTGTTTTTTTTTTTAATTTAGACAAGCTCAAATGCGTCATTCTCTCAGTTCATATTTTCAACTTACCCAGGCAGTTCGTATGGGCAATTTACAGAGATTCGGTGAAGTTTTGGAAAATTTTGGACCACAATTTAGACAAGATCATACATACACTTTAATTTTACGTTTACGCCATAATGTCATCAAAACAGCTATAAGAAGTATTGGGTTGTCATACTCTCGAATTTCCCCTCAGGATATTGCCAAGAAATTAGGACTGGATTCAGCCGAGGATGCGGAATTTATTGTAGCAAAAGCAATCAGGGATGGAGTTATTGAGGCTACATTGGATCCACAAGGAGGTTAATAATTTTCCTTATAATTTAAGAGATTTTTTAATTTATATGATTATGTAATTACAGGATACATGAGAAGTAAAGAAAGCACAGATATTTACTGCACCAAAGAGCCACAGATGGCTTTCCATCAAAGAATATCTTTTTGTCTAGATCTACACAATCAGAGTGTTAAAGCTATGAGGTACAATCAAACTCTTTTATTACTTTATTCTTAGAAGACTGCTCTGACAGATTGTATTATTTTTATTTAATGTATTTAATATATTTTTTTGATTTTAGATATCCCCCAAAGGCTTATGGAAAGGAATTAGAAAGTGCAGAAGAAAGAAGAGAGAGAGAACAGCAAGATTTGGAACTTGCCAAGGAAATGGCAGAGGAAGATGACGATGGCTTCCCTTAAATTTTGTAAAACATTGAATTATCTTATTAACTCAACTTGTATTTCACGATATAATTGATTGTATCTAGTATTTAAATTGAATAATAAACATTACTATAAAAAGTGTTTAGTTTTTCTCTATTTCTTTACAGTATACATATATAGATATCTACAAGCTCATCAAGGCTATTCATAGGGCCAGAACCCTTCTGCGGTTTTGTAAAAGCAGTTACGAGAATGGCCACGGAGCGATGGGTGGCCAACAAATCTCTAAAATGGTGGAGAAACTCACCAGTGCAGAGACAAGCGAAAAAGTTCATAGTAGAACATTCGCCAAAATTCACGGTAGATCTGTTAAGCAAGGACAGAAAGACAGTGAAAGCAGCAGTGGGTCTACTAACGGCATTGTAAGCTACAGAGGCATCTAAAGCTGATGGGACTGACAGACGAAGCCACGTGTAGGTTCTGAAAATCTGAAGAAGAAACGACAGAACATGTTTTATGTCGGTACGACAGCCTGGCAAATGTGCAGTTCTCAGTAATAGGCAATGATAGGCCATTGCCAGGGAGCTACATGGAGGGTTCAGTCTCCAAGTTGCTAGACTTTGTGAAGAGGATAGGACTGAAGAATGTAATCTAAGGATCAGACCACAATAATAGATCTGAGAAGGTCGCAGTGGATCAGTCTGATAGCCACCTCTAGGAATCTAATCTACTTATAGGTAGGCATAGATTTACTGGTTGGATACTGGCTTTTGTCAAAGCCCTGAGACTGTATGATGAGTTATAACTCAAGAAAGAGGAACACAGTAGATCTATAAGGCTGTGGAGGTTAACCCCCCTCCTATTCAACGTTATGGCTAGTTACCACGCAGACGAGTATACTTACCAGTGACAGATTTAGTCGATTTAATCTTCTTGACTTTTTAGGACATCATCTGTCAAAATCATCCTTTCACTCATTGTACAAATTTAAATATGTATGATAAACATCGTTTTTTAGAATAAATGAACTGTTTTGAAAATGAATAATTTTTTGGGAGATTAAGGAAAAGTAGGGTAAGAAAAAAAAAACACTTTTTGTTAGAAAATCATTTTTATTTAATAATCTCATTTAAGTTAAACTTCAGTCATACTGATTGTATTATAAATATATCAATATTTAAATATTAACTTTAAACTATAAGTCACTATTTACAGTAGAACCTTGATAATGTACAGATACAGGTTTCTCACCTTCACATGTATTACCAGTTAATAGTCTTATGTGACCAACAAAAAAAATTAGTGCCAATGAGATCCCAGACACTATACTCAAATTATACGGCTAAGACTATTATCTTTGTAGATACGGTCCTAAATTGATCAACTTATATAATTTGACAATATTGGTAGTAAAAAAGTAACAAAATCACAACAAATCAATAAAATAATAAATAAAAAATAGTTACAATATGGCAAATTTGAATGATTCAACTATACCCAAAATAATAATGGACTTCTTTCTATCTTCAAGATATAAAGCGTTCTGGATATATGTTAAAATAGTGAAAAAAAGGTGTAAAATATAAAGTTTTTGTTTTTTAACATAATAGTAATAATAAACTGGAATAAATAAATTGGATAAAATGAATATTGCTTGAATATCATTGACTATAAAAAATAAATGGACTCTTTTGTTTATACTTTGTTGTGAAGCGTAGATAAACAAAGCAAATGTAAATAAACATTCTACCATAGTTTAGATTTTTAGAAAATTCTCATTAGTAGAAAAGTAAGTAGTAAAGGATTATTCTACTAAAAATAGCATTAATGTAGGCATTTAAAATTAAAATATGCTTTCATTTATTTTTGCAATAGGAACACTCAGATAATTGATGACGTATTAGTGTTTTAATAAATAAGTTATAAACACTAAATATATTGACTTGAGTGAGTTTATATTTTTATTATAGTTCTATGTACCGTATCATAAAAAAAAACGGCGTTCAGTTGTCTTGGAAATGACGACCTTTTTTTTTTCGATCATTCTATAGTATATCTAAGATGCTAACATTAAAAAATATAAGCGAACTACACAGTCTATTCAGTTTAAGAACTGAGATCTACTAACGTACAGATGAATGTTTATATTACATATATGTCTATCTCAATAGAAAATAAAGACACAACGTTGTTTATCAAGCATTCATTTCTCTTATACACATTTATATGGGCGATACGATGTCCAATTATTTCTTGTTTATATCGAAAATACGTTTGGTATAGAAAATGAAGATTTAGAGAATCTCAATGTTAAAGTGGGTATATTGTACAGTAAAAAAGAAAAGTCCTATTTGTAAAGTAAAAAAAAATATTTCACCGGTATTGTAAATCATTTCCAATAATTAATTATCATGTACCAAGTAAAAAAAGCTTATTTGCGTTTCAAAGTACACTTCAAGAGAAAAAAAGTCTAAAAAAATATGCCGACCTCGCATGTACGCTTAAATTTAAATACAAAGACGAATTCGAAAACTCGAAAATGTTGGGACATACATATTATATATAAATAACTAAACAGAAAAACAGATTTCACTCCCCAATCACAGCAACAATAAAAATCGTTATTTCACCTATAGTAGAGGGAGTTTCTAAAAAATCCGTTTTTAGTGCCAACCGATATCGAGTAACAAGCTGATGATCGACGCTGATTTTTCGTTGATTGGCAAAAAATATCACGTATAATAGACACGGTTCTACTGTAGAACAACCATACAATCGATTGAGAAGTTGTAAAACTTTTTTGTCACATCACCCAAATAAAAAATTACTTGTATAAAAATATATACGACAAAAAACGTTTTTCGTATGTGTAGTAGACATAAAAAAATACACATATAACGTTACAAACGTTTCAGCTTTAGGCGATAGTTACAGTTATAGTCCAAAATCCTAGAGCAGCAATCAGACATAACTGATTTTCACAAAGATGAAACCTTAGGCTCTGAGTAGTGCTCTCATGTGCTTTGAATACCGGCGTGTTTGTGGGGTTCGCCGTGTGACACTTTGGCAGATACCATGTGAGAACGGTAACTAAAAATAAGAGTTACTTAAATTTGTATGGATGATTTTTATATATATATTGTAGAATATTACTCTGAAGTATCAGACACTTTCCATGGACCAAAACTTTTATCAGACGCTTTAAAGCTCAACAAGAAATAAATGAACTTTACTTATTTTTACATATGTTATTAAGACATCTATTATAAAGTTATATTTAATCAGTCAGACAGATTGTAATGACCAAACATCCCCTAAACACAAAATTATTCAGCCGTGACTGTGAGCGCCTGAGAACTATGCGTTTCCGAGTAAAGTATTTAAATATTTTAAAAATACCTACTGCTTTCGATTTAATATTTTTGCATCTCTGTTTAAATAACATGAGCTTATTTATTTTTTTAAGGGATGTTTGGTCATTACGTTTTGCCTGGCTGATTAAATATAACTTTTTAATAGCTGTCTTAATCACATATGTAAAAATCAGACATTTAAAAATAAATAAAAAAGTTAATTAATTCCTTGTGGAGCTTTAAAGCGTCTGATAAAAGTTCTGGTCCATGGAAAGTGTCTGATACTACTTCAGAGTAATATTCTACAATATATATACAGGTTGTTAACTTGATAGTTACTTATAGGGGAACAGAATGACAACACTGCTTATTGAGAAAGCATGCACTTATAGGGTTTTCTGCCGACTCGTCCCGTGGCGTCGCCGTCGTCTATCGACGAGCGAGCCGAGGTTGCCATATTTCAACCATAAAGCCGCGAGTAATAAACAAATTAACAACCTGTATATGTTACGGCTAAAGTGGATAGTTTTCAAAATAGCCAGCTATTTTGCAAAAAGCGCTGTTATTTTGTTGGTTAGCTGTCAGTTTGTGGTGTTGGTTTTGCTATTTGTTTGCAAAATAGATGGCTAGTTTGAAAACTAGCAAAGTATCCATTTTAGCCTAACATATATATAAAAATCAGCCATACAAATTTAAGTTATGTTACTTAGTTAGCTAGCTCACCTGGTATCTGCAAAGGTGTCACAGGACGAAACTCACAAACACGCCGGTATTCAAAGCACATGAGAGCACTACTGAGAGTCTAAGAATTCATCCTTGTGAAAATAACTTATGTCTGATCGCTCTGGGATCTTACTCTACTACCTCATTCGTTCAATCGACGATCGCTAGGATCGTCTTTCGTTTAGAGTCACGATTTCGCCGTGATCGTGTGTTAAGCTGAATTCCTTGCCAAATCGGAAAAAATCAGCCCATCGTCAACTTTAGCCCTATCGATACGTTCCTGCCATTGATGCAGGGTCGTCTCCAGCGATAAACTGATTTTTGAATTCCAACCCGCGCAAAAACAGCCTCCTTCTAGCTATACGCACGCGCAGTGGCGTACTGAAAAATCTGTGTTCTAAATGTGACTCCTACTTAGTTGTATCATTTTTCGCCGCCGTCCGACTGCACTGGGCTAAAATCCACACTACAAACAAAATATTACTTTTATTTAGTGATCTCATTTCAGTTCGACTTCAGAAACACTAATTAAAGGGGTGACTGCAATAAGCAGGCAGCTCCAATTAATAAATTTGTGGGAAATCGGAAATGAGCTGCTCGGTTCTTGCAGCAAACCCATTGCAAGGCAGTCCCAACTAACGTCGCTATTTATGTACTGTTATATTGAGAGGACTGATCGTTGCAGAAATAAAAATAAAAAGAATATGTTTGTTTTTTCAACTCTGCTGTCAACCTTACCTGTAGGTCTTTTTCTGGGTGATCTCGTCGATGTTCTGCAGGGTGCAGTCCTGCCCGAGATGACCCGTGGCGCCGCAGTTGTAACATCCGGGAGGGTGCCTCGGAGGTAGGGGATTGGCGGGAGTGTAACAACTGGGATACAGGACTGAAATGTACGGGATAGTGTAGGGAGCGAACGTCGTGGTTTCCTGGTTGGGGTACGGGTACTGACAGTAGGTCGTCGTGGCCGGTCTAAAAGCGGCATTTGAATAAAATCTGAAATAAAAAAAATATTAGGGCTTGTAGACCTCGATAAAAGAAACATATTTTCTCTTTACAGTTTTCCAATAAGTCCAAAATAACCGCTATATTTTACTGTGAAAATAAAAAAAAAAATTCGCTTAAATTTTGAGAACCACTAGATCTTTTCTGGGTTTTCTTTTTTGTAAATTTAATCAACTACCTATGTTGCCATATTATGAAGAAATTGTGGTATTTAACTAAAAATTTAAAAAATTTCATTTTTTCCGAAATAACCACTATATACGTGTTTCTTGGGGTCGAAATATGCTACTAATATTCTAATAACTAAAAATATTTGCACTTAAGACTCACACTGTATATATTACTTATCTCCCCACTGTATATATTACTTATCTCCTCCTCTTATCTCCCCATACCACCCTGGAATGGACTTACTGTAAAATATTGTTAACTCAGTTTTAAATTAACCGATTTTAATATCAATTTGGCGTAGAAAAAAATATTTTTGCTCTACTTGTGGAGCTAAAAACTGCACAAGAAACCCAAAAAAACTGAAAAAAGATTTTATATTTTTAAATCTCTCATTATACAGATTAATATTTTTAAATCCGTCATTATGAAAAACAACACTTAATCAAACAATAAATTGACAATAATATAATAAGGTAAAGAACTGCTGATGTAGAAAAATCGTATATACTCAAACAAAATTAATTTTACGTTTTTGGGTACATATAATCAAAAATCTAAAATATAAACATCTGAGCTAGAGATAAACGATTTTATATCCTAAAAATGAATATTAAAATATTTATTTATCCCGGTTTAAATTGCATATTGTAAATTAGCTTTCCCGTTTTCTTTCACAAATTAATTTATATCCATATAAAGTTTAAACTAAGACACAACGTTCTGAATGAACTACCGTTGTAAACATTTAATGAATAATTTAACTTTTTTTTGATGAAATATTTTCAAAAGATTATTATTTCAGGAAATTTAAATTACACAACTTAAAAATAATTTTTCCTCAATATAAAAATAAATTACAACCTTCTTAAGATCAATTGGCAGTAAGCACCATTAAAAAATAAAGAGTACGCGGGTCAAGTAAATTACATCTAGAGCTTGACCTCGCTAAAATTATCATCGATTGACATCCCCAGCCGTTTTGACACCGTTTTTTTTCGATCGTATGGTAAATATGTACCTACGCAATGTGAACGTAGAGTCTTTTACTCAAGAGGAAACTATTGTTCAAATAATGTGTACAAAATGAAGGACTCTGATGATTTAAAAATTATATTTGATATTTTTCAAGAATAAGTTAAGGTGCAAAATATACTCATAGAATAATACCAATATTATTATTAATTAATAAAAAGCCAAAGTATTTCTTATCTAATCTAATATTATACATATAAAAAATGAGAAAACTTGCCCTAAATTATTTATTTACACTTAATTAGTTTATTTACATACTTAAAAGGAATTTCCAAACACATCACAAATTCCATTTATTAACAACTAAAAGTAATAATCGTTTACACGGCAATTACGGACACCTAGAGTTTTATTTTATTATATTGCTATTACGTACATGCGATTTCGTATATACAGAGTGTGCCAAAAACTATCTTTCGTCACTAAAATTTTAAATACATTAATTTCCCGCAATTGTACCAACTAGTTTCTTCGAAAACAAAATAAAACACTAATTCATCACAATACATTAAAACACTTTAATTTTGCACTGGACGCGCCTTGTGTTAACCATGTCAGCATCATCATCAGATGATTAAAACTCATAATATGGTTGGCGAAACGCGCGTCCAGAGCAAAAGTGAAGTGTTTTGGTGTATTGTGATGAATTAGTGTATTATTTTGCTGTTGTTAAACTATGTTCTGACATCAGAAGTGGGATAGGCTCGCTAAAAATACCACTTAAGTTTTAAATAGTACCAACTTCACTACAATACGGCCAAAACAGTTTACTTTTGCACTGGACGTGCGTTTCGCTAACCATGTTGGCATGGTTTAGCGAAATGCTACCTGCATTAGCTACCAGCAGATGATTAAAACAAGAGTTTTTTTTAAGTAAAAGTAAAGTATTTTGGTATATTGAGGTGGATTAATGTTTTATATTGGTGTTCTAACACCAAAGGCTCCAATCCTCAACTATAACAAATAATTTCTTTGTAAAATCAAATAAACTACTTTGAAAATAAAATGACAAACAGATCTATCACTGTCAAAAATTTTATCATACAGACCATATCATATTTTGAGTATTAATAGTAAACTGTAGCCCGTTTATACTCCTCTATTTGTGAAAAAAAGGAAATAAAAAGCCTTACCTGTTTTGCGGCAAGGGACCATAGGAAAAAGTGAACGCAGGTGGTGGTGGAGGTGACGTAGTGTCCCCAAAGGGATGCATAAAACTGGGCATGCCGTTGATCCTGTTCTTCTCCATTGGCCCCCTACCCGGCCCGTGAGGAGTAGACGTGTTCGACGACATGTTTGAGGGAGTGTCAGGGGGCGATTGAGGTGGAGTACTGAAAAAAAAAGATAAATATACTTCAATCAACCAATCTTGGTAAAAAATATTCTTCCGAATCACGAAGAAATAATGTCGCTTACAGCTATCACGTCGCGTCGTATAGTAACATCGCAGGATAAACTATAGAATAACAGCTATACTGAAGTGACAGAAAAGCTTCATTCAGATCCTCAAAATTAGTGGTTTCTATTAGCGTAAAAGTTTGATCCTCTAATATCAATGTAAGCATTCAGAACGTTAAAATTAGTGGTAGTAATTTTGAGTTAGGAAAAAGTTAATAAACTTTTGACTTTTGCCACTAATTATACTTAAAAATTTGCGAATTATTTCATTTTAGCTTGTGATATTGTCATCCGTCACGAGAAAAATATTTACCTGTTACTACTTGACGACTGATAATGAGAGTTTTCGTCTGTGAGCGACATGGCCTGCATATGATCCGCTATGGACGTCCTAATATTGCTTTGTGGAAAAGGCGGTATTCGCATACCATTAAGTTGCTTTGCTTCGGGCGGGCCCAACCAAGCGTTTATTATAGGAGGCTTGATCGGTGGCTCTTCCTTTATGTTCGTACTTAACTGTAACAAAAATAATTCGTTAAAAATTATCTCATACAAGTCTGATCAACCAAAATTTGTAGTTTGGATCGTCTGGATTATAACGTTTAAGAAAAAGATCGTGATGTCCTAACTATTAAAATCAAACATACGTTTGATTTTAATAGTTAGGTTGTTTTAGTTATGTAATCGAGGGCGCGACTTTTAAATACATTGTTGCCGACCATGGACATATTTGGCGCCGGGCTGACTAACTGAAATTTAAAAATTTCCCGCTAGGGATTCAGGTGGTAGCTCTGCTGTAAAAAATGTCAAGTTGCCACATTTATTTATTTATTTCATGACATTGTCATTGCTTTGTTTTGACACTTTAGTTTTGTATTGCGAGTTTTTGGTTTAAATGAATTGTGTTGAGAAACTTTAAGCTTAAAGATTTTTACTAGCAGACCTTGCAGTCGAACATCGTTCTTTTTAGAACCCCTTTTAGTGCGAAGTGTAAGCTTAATAGCCGTTGCAAAAAACTCATCGTAACCTTATTAGAATATTTTGAACGGGAAAGCGGCAGTAATGACCCTTTATGTCCTTTAAGTGCTGCCAAGGAGGTGAATTTTGTTGATGTAAATAAGAACTATTTCTATACCGGGTGCGTCTCAAAAGTGGCTACCCCTATAACTTTTTTATTTTTTTTCAGATAAAAAAAAGAAATGTGGTATGTTAATATATGACATAAATTAGGATTGATTGACGTATTCAATTGTTTTTTGCCCTTTCCTGTTTCACCGGAAATGACTACAACTTTTGATTTTTAACTGGCACACTCGGTATTTTTTTACTTTATTCGATAGAAAACGTTCTGAATAGAATGACATATCATATGTCAACTTTTGACATTCTCGTTTAATAAAAAATCGTATTTTAAAATTTAATCTAGAGTGCCATGACTATGTTAAAAACACTAATTCTTAATCAAGGAGCCTTGGAAAAATAGATTTGATCGTCTAATATTTTTAATGTCTTGCCCTGGCCAAACCGAAGGGTTTACCATAGTTGTTGGTTTTGCATTTACAGGATAAAAATGCCAACAGGGATTTGGGAGCTGTTATTGTTTTCTTCCAACCCCATTCTTCGGCATTTTTGGTACAACCAGACCAATGCTAAACCTGGTGGTAAGTTCGCAATGCACGACAATTAATTATTCATAAATTAATGAGCGAATTAATGATACGCCACTGTTTCATGACAAAATTGAAGAAACTAAACTAAAACTAGTTTTAGTGAACACTAATCGACATTTGATTTCGGAATATCGATTATATTATGTATATCATACTTTACGCGAAATTGTAAAAATTCCAGGGATTTTGTACCTAAATGGTTGACTTTAGCAAAAATTTTCATATAACCTTTTTTATAGGAAATTATTATTATGCTCTTTAATTTTCCTCTCTTCAATTTTTTGCGAAAAACGCATAGTTTTCCAGATATTTACAAAATACCGATTTTGGGCGCCCGCCGGCGCCAAGTGTTTAAATGTGCATTTTATGAACTTTAGTTAGAGAGAACCCCAAAACCTATAAACCTGCAAAGTTTTAAAACTTCTTTTTTCTGACTTTTAAAACGGACTTTTTTCCAAGCAGGCTCCTTTTTTGATCCCCAATGACTGAACTATACGACCGATCAAAAATTATTTTTTTCTACTTCCAACACAAATACTAGAAATCAATATTCAGTTTTTCCATTTAATTTCATGTATTATGCTCAAATAAACTCAGCAAATGAGCCAATAGTTTTTTCATAATACACATTTAGTAAAACAGTCAAGGTATAAACATGTAGTAACTAGCAACAATGTTATTTTTGTATTATTATTCTTATTTTGGTTCATAATAAACAAGCTACAGTTTTAAATTCGAATTAAAAGGTGTTATTTATAGTTTACAATTGACTTATGGATATTAAAGTTGTTATTTAAACCATTAGTTCACTACATGAGTAGTCATACTTATTTATATGGTCTTAACAACTAAGAAAAAAAAGTAATATAATTTAATTCATTCAGAAAATCAAAATGGAGAATTTAATTATGAATAAAACTTGTGAATATGTACATCTTTCATATCAAATAATATTATATTCACTGTGTTATTTTATGAGAAAATACAGCTATGTTAAAATAATTTTTAATGCAAATTAAATAATTTATACCGGGTGGTGCATTATTCAGCATAGCTTTAAAAAAAACATTTTTATGATTGAGCTGTAAAATTAATAGGGGAGCCAATATTTGAACAATTCAAAATTTGCAGTGCAGTGGCGAAATACCCATAAAGTATTTTTTTGGAGAGATGAATCCGCCACATAGGTATAGACATTTTTAACAATTCAAAATTTGCATAGAATTTCCTGTTTCCAACGACGATGCGCCACCCGGTATAGTGTTACAGATATAGTGTGTATCATATATTTAATAAATAATTATAACATTTCCAATAAATTAATACTTTTCATGAAAAGTTAAAATCTGTTGTAAAAGTTGGCTTGTGTGATGCAATCTATGAATAACTGTCCCATTAATGAAGTGACATAATTCCTATACAATTTGTCACTCTAATTCTAACTAATAATACCTACACAACTAGAGTTTAGATTTTCTTTATAATTAAGAACCGCTATAACAGAAGTAATAATAATAGTAAGGTAAACAATTTTTTTAATACTTTCTTATTAATGTGATAAGAAAATGTACAAGGGCAATCTCTAAACAAACGATTCTGTAAGTACGCTATGGAAAATACATTTTGACATTTACTATAGTGCAAATAAGTATCCAAGATGTACAAATCTGAAATTCATGATGTCATCTTGACAAATGGAGAAGTTATTCATACTACATCACTTAAGTAAAAAAATTTACAACTAAATTTAATTTTTATTTAAAAACCTGACCCGTGACACTATTGTTTCCAAGAAATATTTAAAAAAATTACTATTAAAATAAAATAGATATTTTTTTCTATTACTATTTTTTTTCAAATTCCAAATTTAAAAAAATATATATATGTATATACTCTGTTTTTTTTTCTCAGGTAAGATTTCGACAGACGATAGAAGAAAAGCAGATGACGTCCCATACCAATCTATTTATTTTACTAAAAAAAGTTTCTAGTATTTTTTAAGTTAACTATGGATGGGTTTAAATATAAATCCGTCATACGTCGTCTCTTGTTGTTTTTAACCAGTTTTATTGGTTTATTTCAAAAATGACAGATTATATTTAAATTTAATTGGTTTGACAATGAACGGACGCCGATATGTATAGTATTTTTAATACCCATTTAGAATAACACCATCCTTATTTATTATTAATAAATCAGGTGAAACAAAAAATTACCAACAAAAATGAACGTCGATTACTAATAATTTGTTAGATGTCACGTTTTTGAAGTTACGTTTCATGTTAATGTCATAACGCAAAATAAGATATAAAAATGCGATATTCTGATGAATCCAAAAAACTTATGCTTAATGTAGTAAACTATTTTCAAAACGATTTAGGATCTCGATTTAAGGCAATTCAAAAAGTGTCCGAAGCACTAAAAGTCCCAGAATGCACATTATATAATCTTGAAAAACCAAACAGAGCTACAGATTTCGAATTTAGAAGAAATATATCTGCAAGCGTTTCCCGGAGCAAAATCCGAATTACAAAGAATACCCTACATTGTTTGAGGGAAGTAATTTACAAAATGTATGCGCGAAAGGATAAAATCACAGTAGAAACTATTTTCCGGCAATTTATCGAAGAGTCTCCAGAAACTAAGATTTCCAAAAGTTCGTTATATTTGGGAATTAAAAAAATGGGTTTTCATTTAAAAAACGGGATGGAAGAAAACAGTTATTGGAAATGCCTGGAATCAGATTAAAAAGAATATTATTTTTGAACAAATACCATGCTGCTAAAAGCGAAAAGCTCTTTACACCTGTTTTTCTGGATGAGACATGGATTTTTAGTAAAAGCGGGGATAGAAGAATGGCAAGATGGTACTAAACACAGTGATTTTAAAAAAACTGGAAGTGGGACGCGATATGTAATTGTTCATGCCGGTAATAAAAATCGTTTTGTGGCAAATGCATCGCTAATTTTTAAATGCAATAAAAAAACAGGTGATTACCATGACAACATGAACACCGAAAATTTTGAAAACTGGTTTAAAAAGCAACTAATTGTAAACTTGGAAGAACCATCGTTAATTATAATGGATAACGCAACGTACCACAGTCGCCTGGATGAAGAAATCCCAAGAAAAAGTTGGAGCAAAACACGCATGTTAGAATGGCCCAAAAAGAAAAATATTCCTTTTCCAGATCACATTTTAAAGGATGCTGTTTGGAATATAATTGAAAAGCAAGTTTTTCCGGAAAAAAATTATCATTTAGACAAACACGCTGCCGAGCATTGTCATTGTGTTCTCAGGCTACCACCCTACCATTGCCATTTTAATGCCATCGAAATGGTATGGTCTGAAACTAAAAGGCATTATGGACCAAGCTATTATGAAAACTGCAGGGTCACCTACTGAAGTCTTAAAAATATGGAATGACGTTATAAATAATGTACCGGAGCAACACTGGCAGAATTACATAAAACATACAGAGAAAATTATTTCTGAAGCATGGGAAGTAGAAAACAAACTGGATCTACTAAACATCGAACCTATGGTGATCTCTGTATCCAATGAATCCGATGATGAACTATCACTTTCCGAAAGTTATTCTGATTTAGAAAATAATTAAACTTAGCCTTTAAGATCACGTTGTCATTTTTTTTTAAATCTAGAATTTGTACTTAAACGAGCCCTTAAATAAATATTATTACTGCTTGCTCGACTTCTTGTTATATTATTTATTATACTTTTAGTGCTTCAGACGCTTTTTGAATTGCCTTGAATCGAGATCCTAAATCGTTTTGAATATAGTTTACTACATTAAGCATAAGTATAAGCCTTAAATCGAGATCTTAAATAATATAGGTATTTTTTAAGAAAACTCGGTATCTAGTTAATAAAACAATATTTTTAAAATTAGTACGCTTCTTTTATATTTTTTTTATTACGTCAACATCTTTAGAATTTCATAAAATTAATTTTTATTATTATAAACCGCCACTGATAATATGAAATTTCAAGTCACTCCGCCAATGCAATAAGAAATATGTCAAGCATTTGACATGACAAAGGCCATAACCTATTTTTTTTCATGCGAGTTTAGATGGTGCAAGAAGCCGCATACGTTAAGTTACTAAAACGGCTGGTACCTCTAAATAGGTATTAAAAATACTATATGAACTCGCCTTTAGATTTTTGAGACAAATTATAGGTATAAAATTTTGCGTCAACTTATGTCAAATATCTGCGTTTTGAAAGATGATGCATTTTGATTCGTGTTATTACGTGTGTTTTGTGTCTTTTGAAGTCAAGTGGAGGAAAAATCGAGGGATAATTAACTGTAGACCCAGAGCACAGTTTATAGTTAATACTCGCTGCCCAGGCAGAAAGTCTTATACACCAACAAAGTTACCGTTAATAAAGTTTGTATACCATCTCGTCGTAGATAAGTGCATCTCATTTGGTATAAGGATTGTACTAACCATATACTAAAAACTGGAGTGGCTGTAAAATATCAACATCACACGATAAGTAAATAAAGAATTTTAGTACTGCAAAAAAATAATGTCAAAAGGTACTGGTTTAAAAAAATAAGATTAAAGTTAATTAATCAACCTTTAAGATATAAAATTTGGTAAGTGTTATTATTAATAAAATAGTTTGTTTTTTTATGTTGTTTTATTTATTCCTGTAGAAAATTACAAATTTGTATTTGTACATAAGTTCTATTGATAAATATAATAACAAATGCGGGAAGTTTCTAATAATAAATGCGGAAGCTTGAAAGTAAGAAATAGTTATTTTTTTGGTATACCGTTTTTTTAAATAAAGTAACTCGATTAAATTTTTTTAATTTTATACAGTTTTTTTTTCACAATATGTTGAAGTAATCACTTATCAGTAAAATTTTAAATATATTAATTTCCTACTATGCGTTCCAGTTGTACCAACTTATTTCATTGTAAAATAAAATAAACTACTTTGAAATTAAAATGACAGGCACATCTATCACTGTCAAGGATCTTGTCGTTGGACAGACTATATATTACCATAAATGGATATAGTTCATATCAAATAAACTTTTAGTCACGTGATTTTCTTTTAATCAAAATATTTTAGGACAGAAAAATAAATTAATTATAAATATACAAACATTTATTATTTATATGAACAAAACTCACCTTCTTATCAGCACTAAAGGACATAAAGGGTCATTACTACCGCTTTTCCGTTGAAAATATTCTAATAAAGTTGCGATAACTTTTTAACGGCTATTAATCTATGTTGTATACTTCATTCACACTCAAAGAGGTTCTAAAAAGAACAATGTTCGACTGCAGGGTCTGCTAGTAAACATTTTTAAGCTTAAAGTATTACAGCACTATTTATTTAAACCAAAAACTCGTATTACTAAAGTGTCAAAACGAATGACAATGTCAGGAAATAAATAAATAAATGTGGCAACCTGACATTTTTACGGCAGAGCTACCACTGAATCCCCAGCGCGAAATTTAAATTCCAGTTAGTCAGCCCGGCGCCGAATATGTCCATGGTTGGCACCACTGAATTTAAAAATCGCGCCCTCGATTACCTAAATAAAAGATTAATTGGTATCAAATATAAATGTAATTTACCGCAATTTAGCTAGAGAACTAAATTGTGTTTAATAGCAACTTCAAACTCTTACCTCATCACATTCTGGCTGTCCTGGCTTAATAGAATTAAAAATTGGCGAAGGTTGACTAGATTGGCTCAGTTGAGCGGGTGGTGCCAGAGCCTCTAACGGCACGGGTATCATGGTAGGTACCGATGCCACTGAAGGAGCAGGAAGGGGTATTCCACCTAAAATTAATAATTTATTTTAATATATTCATTTGCTTTGCTACCAAAAACTGCTCAAAAAATCAGTTTCTACAAATTAACACTCAAAATTGACAGTTTTACGTGAATAATCAGGAGCTTATGCAGCGAAATTATTAGTAAAAAGTGTGTGACACAATCATTGACAGGTTTTGGACTTATTTGGGTGATATTTTTACTTTTAATTAGAATCAGATAAGTTGCTTTACGTTTCCTTAAAACTTTTTTGTTAATCTTTTTATTTTAATCGCTATATTTTTAGCGATGTTTGATTGCGCTCTCACTGTTAAAGCCAAATTACATATATAAACAATTAGAATATAATTTCAATATAACATACGAACATCTTTCAAAACACAAAATACACTTAGATCCATCTTATCACATACTAAACCAATGAACACAGAACAACAAACAAAAAATGTAATATACCAATGCGATACATTTTGCATTGGTAAAACATTTTAGACCCTTAAATGTTCGAATTAAAGAACATAAAGGTTATTTAAGAAAGGGAGATTTTCACAAATCTAAGATTTGTCAGCATTCGTGGGACACAGGGCACAGAATAAATTTTAATAACGCCAAAATTATAATGAAAGAAGCGATAGCCTCTAAAAGAAAAATAAAAGAGGCTTTTTTAATACAATCTAATAAAAATAAATGTATTGCTCATGCATCTGTAGATGTTAGTAATGTATGGCAATCGCTTCTTTGATTTTAAAGAACATAACATAAATAAACATAACATACGTAAAAATTAAAAATAATCATACAGAAAGTTTCTTTGGTTTAGGAGAGGGGCTTTTTGATTTTTCCCTTATTAAGTAATTGTTATCAGGTAGTAATTACCATTTTTTTGTTCGTTAGGCAAATTTGTATATCTGTAAACGTAACTTCTAACAAGTAGTTTCCGTTTGGGATTAACGCAGAAGTGTTTACAAAAAATAACTTTTTTATTTTGTAGATTTTCTTGCAGTGGCGAAATACCCACATAGGGTTTTTTAGAGAGATGAACCCGCCACATAGGTATAGACATTTTTTATAATTTCAATGTTTATTACGGTGTCGCTTTACATACCTGGAGGAGGAATACCTGGAGCTGATGGTACAACACCTGCTGGTGCAATGGTCGGTATTGCCACCTAATAAGAAAAATCGTTAAGAGATATATCTTGAAAAGAAAAATCAGTTTAAAACAATGTTGTCAGATTCATTGTTAATAATTGAATGTTTATTTTTTATTTAAAGATGATAAGATATTGGAAATTTCATTTTTTTTATTTGAAGATAAGAATTCCTCACATTTGTTATTATTATTTTAATTCGCTGTTTGAACCCACCATTACTTTACAACACGGAATATTACTTACATAGACGGAAGATTATAAGTATACCATATTGGTCACTTTATTTCCGTGGTCTGAATTTTAATGCATACAATAGAGATAAATATACCTCTATGACCAGTTGACAGACAAAGAGCAAAATAAAAAGATATACAATGTTGCCGGTTCGTAAAATATTTTAAAAATATTTTCATATATACTACTGAGATTAAGATAATCTAAGCTATTTAATAATGCTCAATTGTGTTGTTTGAATAAAATATCTACGGTTTTATCTACTCTTTAGAAATGCCATGGAAATATTGATTGATTTGATAAGATTACTTCACAAATAGTGCTAGTAATTGTATTTTAAGATGTAAAATTTCGTGCTAAAACTACGCAGTGCCGCTGCCGTACATGCATAAAACCAACTAAATTTGCAAGTTCAAAAAACATCTGTCAATTTTGACTTTAGTTACTAACCTAACAACTATGATTATTTGTTTTCGCCAGCGACATAACGTAGATCTGAGACCGATGCTTAATAAAAATCTATTACAGTTATAGTAAAATAAGTAACTAATTGTGGAAATTAAAGATCCAACCCTAGATGCAGCTTTTTCATAAACACTTACTTGGGTGGTTGAAATTTTGTACAAAAATGTATCAACCCAACTTTTTTCTCTTTTTAATACATTTGATTTTTCTGTCTCCATCACTGTCTTACACGTTAAAATGCAGACCACGGATATACGGTGACCAGACCTGTATAAGCTAGGACATACGTACCGTAGGTGCGAGCGTCGTTAATATACTTAATGCCGGAGCTCTGGAAGCTATAGACGTTCGGTGCGGCGACGTACTACGTGACTGACTGGGCGAGGTGACTAGGGGCGAGGTGGCCGGTTGAGGCGGCTGCAATGGAGGCTGGTGAGGAGGAAAAGGTGGCACCTTGTTATACGCAAAATATTTAATGTCTTATAAGAAACCAAAATAATATCGAATCCTAAATAATCAAAAAACAATTTACTGATTATGAATGAGTTCAAAGAAAAAAAAATGCTCCAATAATAGAAGACGTTGACTTAACTCCGAAACTGTTAAAGCCTAGTTGACATGGTCAAAGTGTACTTGGACCAAGTCTCAACCAGATGCTGCCATATAAATATACCTATATAGATGTTGCGCGCGTCTTTTACGCTGTTTGTATGGTATCAGTTGCTTCATCAAAGTCGAGTTGGAAGGCTTCAAAACATCCAAGTAAGTTGGAAGCCTGCTTACTTTGATTCTAAAAAGTCTTCCAACTGCTTCCAAATTTAGTGCAGCTGACATTTTCATTTTCACGTTGCTATAGGCTTGGTGCATTTTCCGCCGGTGCTGCCACCATCGGAAAATATCGTAAACAACTGGGATATACAAATACACGGGTTTAAATAGCAAGCATACGAAAAATTTATTATATAATTATTCTAAAACTGTTTAGGAAGTATAATTTGTGAAAATTCTAAAAATAAAAACAAAAAAGTAAATATTTTGATATCTTCAGAAGGTCTAACTTGCATTATTATTTATTATACCAGCTAAAAAAACCTTATAGATGAGTTCAACTACCGTAGCGACCATAGTTTTACGCACCGGTTTTGCTAGTGCGGTTATAACTGGGGCTATATATCGGCTATAACAAAATTTTTTAAAGGTACATAATTATAATTTTAGAAGATATTCATAAAAAATGTAAGCACCAGTTGATTAAAAAAAGTATACCCTAAATATTGCAAATTATATTTTATCCTCTCCTAGTATATGCCTATTTATTTTTTTGATTATGTAATGAGCACTTTGTTTACTCACTTTTGTTTTGTCGAACTGCTTGAATCGGTTTTTGCTTTTGATCAAATCGGTTTGAGAAACTGTGAAGCTATAAAATGTTGTTTCGGAAAAGTTGACTATCCGGGAAAGTTGAGTTATTGAATGTTATTGCACTCAACAACACCCTAATTACTGTCTCCTTTACGCGTTAACATTTTTCTCGGCAATTTTATTAACATTATAAATTGTCAGAACACAACACGACGCCTAGTTCAAGTTCTTTTTTCTCTTATTTTTTACTACCCGAAACAGCGTTACATCACAAGAACCTCGTACCTGAATGTTTTATAGTTTCAATAACTGCACATGCGATCGACATAAACCGTAACGGAACATGAAATACTTTATACCCGGCACTTCTAATTTCTGCCGTTTGAGCGCTGGGGTCGGAATTTTAAAAATGAACTGAAATGCACCAAGCCTATTACGCCCTCTGGCGAGCAACCTCCGAACGTATCACTAACGGTTCTCAAGTATCAGCCGACGTTCCCTATTGCTGGACCACCCTGTACTGAATGTCAGCTGATTAAGGCTAGCTGAAAATATCAGCTAGCCTTAGTAAAGCAATTCAAAATGTCAAGTTGGTTCTTTATCATTATACTTCACAATTTAAATCAGTGCTTTATGAGGAAATAAATATTTATTATTGAAGATATTCACAATTTTTTTCACTACAATATAAGTATTCCTATATTGTAATAATTCTGAGAACACTGAAAAGTTAGATAAACCCAATATTGTTTTAAAAATGTAAAAATCCTTTTAGCCGTTATGTAAATGTAAAAAAAGCAAAAAAAATAACTTAGCTAATAAATTGATTAGGGTAAATTGAACTATGGTAATCGCAAAACAATTTCCGATGCACGTGATAAACTTTTAGTGACAAGCGATGGCGACAGCGCTGCCAGATTGTGATAGATTTATGAGATGAATCTTAATTTAAAATTGACCTACAATATATTTAGTATATCATTTTTTAAAGAGTTTTACGTTTTATTTTTAATTTAATAACTAATATTTTAGTGATTAATTGATTTATTTGTTTTATAGCTTATTCTACTTCGACTGTTTAAACGCTTCGGCATATTTTCAACACACAATTTCAAGAAATGCAATACAAAAATTAGAAAATTTAGTTCTTAAAAGAACTGTTTGTGCTTAAAAGTGCAATTTAAGGTTCTAGTAAACTTTAGGTACCTCGGAATTTCACACTTTTCTTTGTTTTCTTAGAAAGATTACTGTAAATAGCATATTAAGACAAAAAATTTGTTGGATAATACAGTTTTTTTTTTGAGCATTTGGGTTGCTGTGGTTTTCATTGTGGAGGGTGTTAAGCTGTGGTTTTTATATTTTAATAATTTACTGTGATAAATTGGTTAGCATTTTAGACACTTTTAAATGAATTTTTTTGGTTCAAAAGTGCTTCATCCAAGGATTTTTTTTCTTTTAAATTGTTCTATAGCAATAGAGCTTTCGACTAAAAAAATAAAAATTGCGAAATTCTGAGGTACCTATGCCCACTTGCACCGTTTGTATAAACTTTGCTTAAAGGCTAAACAGTGATTAACTATATAATATTTTATTATAGTTAATCACTGTTTAGCTTTCAACAAAGTTTATACAAACGATGCAAGTGGGCATTAATGTTTACCAGACCCCAATTTCAAAAAAAAGACTAGGAAAATAAACAAAAAAACCAGAATTACTCACAAAAATTCAACACCACGATATTATACAAGATAATGACTGACACTAGGGCAATTGTCAAATAATAAAGGGCAACATTGCTGAACACGGCGCAATGTGACCAACACAGCGATAATAAAATTCGGTTTAAACTAATTTTTGCTGCTTTAATCTAAATAAAATATCTGTTACAATCATTTGCTCTATAAAGTAAAATGAAGAGCTGCTCGGTATCTTAAATTATACAACAAATTTAAACATTTTTGCCAAAATTTCATTTAGTCAAGTATATAGACTTTAGTCTTTGCTTTAGTGTCAATGTCAATATGATTGATGACGTGCATCGGAAAATGTTTTGCGATTACATAATATTTAATTTATTTAAAATTGGGTAGTAATATATTAAATATTTGACTCACCCTGTACATTAATAAACAGATATTCTAAATATTATGATGTATTTAAACTATTCACATACTTCTGTCTGACTTTGCAAAAAATATTGTCAAAAAATCAGGGTTTTTATGCATTTAAAATTTTACAAATCATTTATTTATGAATTTGTATATTTCTACGAAGCAATTTAAAATACAAATAAAAAGTAAATGTTTTTCTATTTTTACATACATTTTAAACATCATCATACATAAGCTCGCAATCCAGCTCACAATAAAAAACCACAAAATTTGACCTTGAACGAGAAATGATATATTAATTTTTATAGTAAACAATTCATTCATGTTCCATATTGTACTCTTACATAAAGGCAATAATTTCGTAATAGTATTATATTAGACAAAAATCCATTCAAAATCTAGTTTACGGTTTAATTACTGCCCTTAAGGTCACTTAATGTTGATAGATTTTGAGATTTATTGAATTTTAATTTAAAAGTAAAATAAAAAAATAGATTCACAACAAAAAAAGGCGTCAGAGATGGTTGGAAATGAACATTGGTGTCGTTTTGTATGTAAAATCATATGGAGAATTTCATTGTCATTTCCAAGCCATTTTGACTCCATTTGTTTCAATCATTCGGTATTAAAATTGCTAATAAATGCAATATTTACCTCAGCTGGTGCTCCACAATGCAGACCAGGCCAACCCCTTAAATGAGGCAATGCATATTCCATATTAGGAAGTCCTGGTGGCTGTACATGGAAATTAATAGGAAAAGAAGTGCCGTCTGGAACCTGTTCCAAAAATTTATGAGTGACATATTTACACCTGTTACTAATATAAAATAGTACCTTTCGATGATCTGTTGGATAACCAAATCCTGGAGGGTAACCATATGTGTTCGATTGTTTGATAAACCGACTATCCCTAATATTATGCAGTTGTAAAAGAATGCTAGAAAAGAATTGCTTTTGGTCAAAACTAAATGCGGGATGCCTAGAGGCCATAGTGAACAACAACAACAGTTCGTTTTGCACTAATTCGTCTTTCTCTTTATGAATTAGATCTTCGATATAGTCTGTCCTTAAAAACTTTTTCGAATACCAATTAGCTACACTATAATTTCTAGATTTTAATAAAGAAATGTTTATTAACACTCTATGTCGCACAGCTTCTTCGTATAAACTTTGATTTTTAAACATTACATCCTTCTCCAGCTTCTCAAGGTTATTGGCAAACAATGCTTGCTGCCGAAGCTCTTGATAACTATGCTTGCCCATTTCTTCTACACAGCTGCCGATAAACCGCAGCTCGAATGGAACACACATATTTATTAATTCACATAACATATCAATCCGTTTATAACTATCTAAGTCTTTAAACCATTTTAGAAATTCCTCCTTACACACCATCTCCGGAACACATTGATGTCAAAAAACAGATTTCTGGAAAATAAAACAAAATAGTTAGTGCTGTTGGTGAACATTAACATAGAGTGGAAAAACATATAGATAAAATAACAATAATTAACATTTCATAAATAAAATATTAATTCTTTTTACACAGACCTAAATATTTCTTTACCACCTGGCGCTATTAAACAATTTAAATACACCTCACTATATGAAGAATGGAGTTTGGACATTTGTAAAATGCATAAATCTCAATATGTTTTAGCTGTAAAGTAATAGTACCTTATATGCTATATTTTAAGATATACATTGTTGAACTATCTGAGATGATATTTATACGTCCTAAACTTGTATATATGCGTTCAAAAATCGTAGGGGGTAGTTTTTAAGAATACAAACTGCCCAAAAGACAAAAAATATAGTAAATAAGGTAGAATGTAGATGTATCACCATTATGACATAACCTATATGGTACTTACGTCCGATGCATTCAGAAACATAATAAACCGCATCGGATTTGTACAAAGCACATCTGTAACTGGAACAATTCGGTCTTAAAAACTATTATGATAAAAATGGATACCGAAGGGTTAGATATACACGAAAAAAAAATAGAGAGATTTTTAATGCTTATGTCTAACACTGACACTGACTTTACAAGGAAACGAGAACGCTTGATTGACGAAATAAGATGTTAAAATGTTAAGATCACGCGAACTTTTTAATGAAAGGGCTTTTTATCAGCAGATATCGCGATATCCTACCACAATCTTGTAAAAATTTAGACAGTTTGACTTGATCCACACACCAATTTCGAACTATCAACATCTGATATTATGGCGGCAAAATAAATGCTGTTTGAATAAAAAAGTGTATTTTTATATAATGAAATACTTTCTAATTTATCTAACACAGCAAACAGATGTAGTTAATAAGTAAAATAATAGATTTTGAGGAAAATCAACTGTATACGATAATTCAACTACTGTAGCGACTAGAATTATTTTTTTCACGTGTTAACTTCAAAATTTCAGATGACCTAAATTTCAACGTCCAAAACTCCCTAACTAAAATTCAACCCACACAAATTTAATTCGCCAAATAAATAATATCTAATAGGCGGAATTACTTTAGTTTGTGATATATGAAACTCTTTCATTTTTACTTTCTTTCATGTTTGGATGACAAAAGTTACCTACTTTTTTTAAGTTTGGGAAATTAATATAAAAATTTTAAAATAAAACAAACAACACAAATGAATGAGAATCTGTTAAAATTAAAACTGCTGCAAAATACCTTATCAGTGCAAAGTAATATTTTGCATAAATCATGCATAAATGTTTTATAAAATTAAAAAAATAAGAAATCCAGAAAATTCTAAAATCATAATCGATACAAAATCGATAATTAATTGATTGACCGCTGTGACATCTATGCAAACTTATTGAAACTGAAATTTATTATCGAAAACGAAAACTATAAATACTGGTAGATTTCTTTCCAAAACCTTTTTTAGTGTTACAGCATTCCACTAGATGCCACTAGCTGTTTTCTTAATGTCAAATATACGCCACCTGTCAGTTTGACATTGACAACAGTCTTCAAACTTCAAAAGTCATAAAGTAAATAAAGGGATTTACATTAAAAAAGGAGACGTGTAATTTATTTTTACATAAAAGATAACAATTATTTCTTGCTAAAAATATAATTAAAGGGTACAAATGATTTTTAAGTTATTTGAACTTTAATCGTTTACGTAATTTGAGAAAAATATGTTTCTGTAGTGGCGGTTAGAAGATCATGTTTGCATCACTTAAAAATAAGATTCGAGAGGAAACTGGCAGTGATTTAAGCAAACTTACAGCAAAAATTACTTCTAGTACTGTGCAAAAAATTGACAATTTAAGAGGAAGATCTCATCAAGGTTCTACTTCAAGTTTAAACTCAATAGTATCATCAGATGGTCTTCGTGAGGAAGGACCTATAGACCCAGAAGAATACAGGAAAAGAATAGTAAAACTAGAAGCAGAGTTCGCCAGAAAACTTGATACCCGGGATAATGATTGGAAAGAAATTGTTAAGGAAAAGGATAAAAGGTTACAAAGTATTGAAAAGGAAAAGGATGAAGCTTACAGACAGATTTCAAATTTGAAAGATTCTTTAAAAAATGCAGAAGGTATTAAAAAAACAATAATTAAATCAAAACATATTTTTATTGGTTTTATATATTTTCTAGAACTAAAACAGAAAATTCTGGAACACAGAGAAAATTCTGAACAAATTGAATCTCTTCAGAACCAGGAGCTAGCCAAGATTAAACAATTAGTTCTGCAAAGGGATAAAGAGCTTTTGGAAAAATCTGCCTTACTGAAAGAGTCTAATGCTCAGTTGGAAAAATTAAGGAGTGAAGTTAATAGACTACGAAGACAAGAGGAATTATTAAGCGATGTACAGGTAATGTTCGATTTTTGTTATAATGTTTAGTCTTAGGACAAGACTGAATAATGTGAAAAAATGCACCTTTACTTTTACAACAGCTGTCCCTCTCTATGTTTATTATTTACCAGATTATAGAGTTAATGTTGGCTTAATCTGTCTGCATACTTACTATATTACTAGTAGTTTGTGGCATTCCCATACCCCTTTGTGTTATTGTTATTATTTTAAGTTTGTTTCCATTTGTAAACTCTTCCGAACTGTAACTTAAGAAACTTCAGTGTCATTATATAATTTTGTGACCTTCCGCTGTGCTTCTTTCCTTTTGGGTTTACAGGTATTGCTTTAGCTCTTTCAGTATGCCTTTAATATATCCTCAAAGATAACAATCTTTCAGGACGACCTCGAAGTTCTACGCCATTCTTCTTCTCGAGACTTAGCTCATTTAGCTACAGAATTAGCAAAATGTGAGCAGGAACGAAAGCATTTAGCCGATTTAAATAGCATTTTTCGCGACAGTATTTCAAGTGAAAATACACTTGATGAAACAGTGGCTTCTGAGAAGAAGTTGCTGGAACAACGGTTGGAAGAAGCACATTTACAATTATCCGATATCAAAACTTCTTGGAGTGATAAAATTGCATCTCTAGAAACTCAGGTTAGTATATTCTCACTTAATTGAGCAGGGAAGAGTTGCTTATTGCTGTATTAGGTTGGTAGGTTAAGTAGGCAAGCTGCTGAAGAGGGTGCTGAAAGACGACGTGCAGTAGAAGACAGAGAAAAACTAATGGAGAAAATAAAACAATTGGAAGCAGAGTTGGAGCTTAGTAAAATTGAGTTATCCAACAAGGATACCAAAATAAAGAGACTGACACAGGACATAAATGAAATTTCTGCAGAGCTGAAATTGTTACAGCAACAAAATGAGGAAGAAATTCAGTTTTTAAGAACTGAACTTGTGAGTCAACCAAAATAAGGGGACTTAAGCTTTAATAATATTTTTTGCACTTATTTTTTTTTGTAGCACTTTTTCTTGGTTATTTATGTGTATTTTAAATGTTATTTATAACTTCCTATTATTATTATTTTGTAGTATTCTTGCCAATTTATTAATCTTGGATCCTATTTTGAAACATTAGGTTGTAAGAGCTATGTGTTTATTATTTCAGTTTAATTTATCTTAATAAAGATTTTATTTAGGTTTTTTAGATCTTTTATTTGGGCTCTTTTTAATTTTCCCATACCCCTTTGTGTTAACAATTTATTTTTATAGTTTATAGGGTTAGTATATAAACGCTTTTTGAAATATATATTGGTAACATTTGGTTTGTAAATTTAAAGGTGTACCTACTAGTTTGTGACGTTAATTTTTAACTTTTACGTGCTAATTTGTTATTTTAGGATGTTTCAAAAACCGAGATAAAGGTAGTTAAAATGAATTTGGAAAATGTAGAAGGAGAACTAGACAAAACAGAAGAGGAGAATAGTAAATTAAAGACATCTGTTGATTCCGAACATCTAACAAATAACTCTTTGAGGCAAATAATCACGAAATTAGAAATGGAACTGGGCGAAGAGAAAGCCAACTCGCTGAACGTGCAAAAAACTCTGTCAAGGTAATTTGTGCAATTGAACTAGTTACCTGTTAAATAAAAAAATGTATTATTTCAGCGATGACTCATGAAATTATTGTTGTATAAAGTGCTAAACTGATTATATTTTATGGCTTATACAGGGTGTATATTAGCAAAGTTGAACAGATATTTTAATAATATTTGTTAAGACATCTATACAGGGTGATCCCGCGTCCCGTTAAAAACTTTATGTCGCGTTTTTGGTTTCAGATTTTTGTTTTAGAAAATAATACCTTCTCTATAAATAAATAAAATCAGAGAAAACATTAAATCGCAGTTTACTATAAAATGTTTCAATGGATCTGAAGCACTGGCCACTATAATTATAGCAATACATTTATGAATTTTTTCAGAGTTACCGCCGAAAAAAACACTGCCCTTTTGAGGAACGCTGAAATTTCTCAACAAATGGAAATGATCAAGCAGAAAATGAGAAGACAGGAAAGTGAAATGAACGATTTAATAAATAAAATAGGTAATTTAGAGGACGAAAACTCTAAGCTCAAGGAAAGCCGAATTATAGAGCAAAAACTAAATAGCAGTATTACCGATCTTGAAGATCAAGTTGCAGAAAAAAATAAGGTGCGTGATTTTATTAGCGTAAAATGCTCGGCGAATATATTATTAGAAAACGTTCCCCAATAATCAAATAGAATAAGTGAGCAAAAATAAGCAAATGCCCAGAATTTATCATTAGCACAAAGAAAATAGGTTGGAAATCTGAAGTTTATACTGCGCTGGTAAGTCTTGCTATTGGGTCGGTATTTATATGTGTGAAAGTGAATCGCTTAGAGATCTTATTAAGCTGGAGTGAGAAAAAGCGATGGTGTGCTGTTCCAGCGTTGCCACATTTATCGGAGATACAGGTACACGTTTCCCTGGTCGAAAGACGCTTCTTTCTATTTGTTTTTTGGAAAGATAGGCACTAGATAAAATCATTAGATATGTTTCTGGGCATCTATGTTTCTGGGCAACGACCAAACGTCAACTTTTTTGTTTGTAAAGATTTTCACATACTGCCAGCAAAGAAAATATAGCAGAAACAATAAGATTTTTTTAGAGAAACCCACAATCAATTATTTTTATTGGATTTCGAGATATCGATTTTTGAATTCAGAGTGCTAAGAGCGCCGACCACTGTCTAGCACCAATTCAATTCAACTTATTTTTTACCAAAAATGGTAAACTTCTGGGCATTTTAGAATCGTTGTTTAATTTCTAACTTGCATTTAATAATATACAAGCTATAAGGAAAATTACAACAATTTGTTTGTATATTTGTCAGTTGACTGCCACTGGCGAATGATTAAACATGGAGAACTAATATCAGCTTTTGATACCCGTATAGCTTGGGTATTGCAGAATATGATTCCAAACCATCATATTATTTTACTAAAAGACCTTCGCTATGGTGCGTCCAGACCTGAGGAGTCGAGTGCGAAACGAGCGCGAGACATTCGAAATTCGCTAAGTGTGGACGGGTCTCGCAAGAGCCTCATCGCGACCGCCTCGCGAGACAAGCCACGGAGCCTTGTTGCTATTCGTCCACTGTCGGTTTTTCGACGGCCGATCAAAGAAAGCTCGCGGCCAAGTCGGACGTGTTTTTGGTAGGCTCGCTCGACTGCGAGATATTAGCTCTGCTATTAGTGCATATTGAAATGGAGACTTGGACGGAAGAAGATCAGCTGAGAATTATTAAAAAGTGTTTTAGAATAATTAAAAAAAAAAGAAAAACTGTAGAGAAGGTTAAGATAGACATTTTAAAATTATTATAGAGTATACAGGGTGGTTCAAAATAGTGTTACGGATATAACATGGTTTTTTAAACGTAATACACTATTTTTTATTTTATTTTTAGATCTGCGTAAAATTTTATAACTTTTTTTATATATAATGCGAGGTATAATGTTATATAGCTAAAACTAATAGTTTTTGTAATATTTCAATTTACTTAAATAAAAAATGTTAGATTTCAGTGTCGTAAAAATTTGTCAGTCATGCTATGGTTTCTGAAGTTGGAGTGCTAAAATTTGTTAGGATAGTTTTGTAGGGACGAAGAAAAAATATAGATAAAGATATTTGAGTTAGATGCTACAGTGTTCAACATATATTTATCAATTTCGACTATTTAAAATTAAATAATCTCACATTTTTTAAATGGAACACCGTATTGTTGCGGGCCGGTGTGGACTCGACCTAACCTCACAATATGGCCCGCCCTCGGATGACCTTAACATCGCATAGACACCGCAATGATTCATTCGTTCGAGAAGAATCGAGTCCCACTGGAATGGACCAGTACATACGAGAACATTCGAAAACCTTCTCTACGCACCTAACGATCTATGGACAATTCTAGAGTTCTTTACCTGCCGGTATAAAAGCCGGCGGCCGTGGCCTACAGGGGGCAGTTATAAATATACCAGTGCAGTTGACGCGCTAAAATTCAAAATAAATTCTTAGTTATAAATCGTTTGTAAATAGTTCTATAAGTCGTTTATCGTTATTAGTTTTGTTAATTAGTGTTAAATAAATAGTGTTTAAATAAATTGTGACTTTCTATCCACACGGAACCGACGAAAAACGTAACAATTGGTGTCAAGTGTGGCGTGTGTGATAGACTAGAAAAATAAAAAGACTAACGATGGCTCCAAAAAAATTGAAAGACCTGAAAGTGTCGGAATTAAAAAGCATACTGGAAGAGAGGGAATGCGAGACAGATGGAAAGAAAAGCATTTTGCAAGCCAGACTGAGAGACGTTTTGATTGAGGAAGGTGAGGATCCTGACACATTTTGCTTTGAGTTGGAAGGTGACCTTGACTCGTGCCTACAAAAATTAGAAGACAATTTGAATGACAAAATTACAGAAAATTCCCGGGAATTGCAAGACAATTTAAACGGCAATTTGAATAATTTAGAAGATAAAATGATGAAAAATTCCCAGGATTTAATTAATATTTTAGAAGATAAGATCGCAGAAAATTCTAAAGACATACAGGCCAGCTTTAATAATAAAATACTTAATTTAGAAGAAAAGATAACAGAAAATTCCAGGGAATTAGAAGAGAAGATAACAGATACACAAGACAAAATAACAGAGATTGAGGAAGATGTAAATAGAAAAATCGAAATTTTAAGAGAAGAAATAGCGAAATCAAATTCACCAAAATGTCAAGAAACATCGGAGGGGCCGAAACTAGTCGAAAATAAGTATATCTCAAAGTCAGTTATTAAGCCTCCACAGTTTGACGGAAAAACCGCTTGGGCTAATTATTTTTGCCAGTTTGAGGCCGCTGCGAGAGCGAACGGATGGACAATCGCTGAAAAGGCTACCGCTTTGACTGTCGCACTGCGAGGAGATGCGACTGATATTCTGCAGACATTGTCACCATCGGAACAGGGAGATTATCAGCAATTGGTACGACATTTAGAAATGAGGTACGGCCAAGCTCATTTGAACATGTCTATCATTCCCAGCTAAAAAATCGCATTCAAAAGTCAAATGAGTCTCTGCAGGAGTTTGAAGCCGACGTAGCCCGCCTCGTTCGCCTTGCGTACCCTGCTATGCCCGAAAATGTTATGGAGCGCTTAAAAGTACAGGCTTTTATTGATGGTTTATGTGACAACGAGACAAGGCAAACACTTCTTTTAGCTCATCCAACGCATTTGGGAGATGCCCTAGCACGTGCCCTGGAATTTGAGGCCGCGAAAGAATGCTCTAGGTCTCTAGGATTTGTACGGGCTGTTGAGGAGAGTTCCGACGATTCCAAAGTGGAAAGGATTGTGCGGAAAGTACTGGATCAGTATATGAGTAAGAAGGGGGGACCGATTCGCTGTTGGAATTGCGGACAGATGGGAAATCGTTGCAAAGAAGAGAAAGAAGTGAAAGTCTTAAGGACGACTGTGGTTGGTGATAGTTGGCAAACCGAAGATCTTGCAAATGACCAAATCAGTGATCCAGAGTTGGGCTTGGTGATTAACTGGAAAAACGCGGACCAGAGACCAACGTGGGAGGAAGTTTGCAGATATTCGCCGAACGTGAAGTCGTACTGGTCCAGTGGAATTCATTGGTAATAGATAACGGATTACTTCGCCGTGTGATTGTGAGACCAGAGGGACAAGAAGAGAGAAGGCAGATCGTCATTCCAAAGAAGAGGGTCCCGAAGTCTTGGCGGAAGTTCACAATGGAACCAGCGGTGGACATCTTGGTGTTACCAAGACACTTGGCAAGCTGCGTGAACGGTTCTACTGGGTGAACTGCAAAGAAGATGTGAGGGCCTGGTGTAAGAAATGTGACATTTGCGCAGCCATTAATGGGCCACAAAAGCGTGGTAAAGCCCCTATGCGCCAGTACAATGTTGGTAGTCCCTTCGAACGAATAGCGATCGACGTGGCTGGTCCTTTCCCGGAGACGAACGATGGCAACAAATACATTGTGGTAGTAATGGATTACTTCAGCAAATGGGTCGAGGCCTACGCGTTGCCAAATCAAGAAGCGTCCACGATTGCTGATGCCCTTGTTAAAGAATGGATCTGCAGGTTTGGTGTTCCCATGGAGCTTCATTCAGATCAGGGAAGAAACTTTGAGTCCAATCTGTTCCAAGGCGTCTGTGAAGTCCTGAACATCCGCAAGACCAGGACGACTGCTCTACATCCACAATCCGATGGGATGGTTGAACGCATGAACAGAACTATCAACCGTTATCTGGCCAAAGTAGTCTCTGACCACCAAAGAGACTGGGACAAATTTCTTCACCTGTTCCTGTTGGCCTACCGTTCATCCGTCCAAGAATCTACAGGGCAAACTCCAGCCAGCATCGTTATGGGACGGGAAGTGCGCCTACCCTGTGATCTGAAATTTGGTTGCCGACCGGGAGAAGAAGTCGCCGGAGAAGATTATGTCCACACACTACGTCAAAGGATGGACGACATTCATCAGAGAGTCCGCCTAAATATTCAAAGTGCTAGTGACCGAATGAAGGAACACTACGACATTCAAGCTGAGCATGGAGGATACCAACCAGGGAAGTTGGTGTGGCTATATAACCCGCAGAGACGTCGTGGGTTATCTCCGAAGCTACAATCCTCGTGGGAAGGGCCATACGAAGTCATGGATAGAATTAATGACGTCGTATACCGTATCAGAAAATTGCCAAAAGGAAAACCGAGGGTAGTCCATTTCAACCGTTTGAGCCCCTACCAAGGCGAAATAGAAGATCGTGCTGGGACCGTGAGAACCTGCAGCTTTGATCCCCCTGATTCGGAGATGTCCTTTGACGATTTCATGGCCCGATACAACAGCAGTGAGAAGGCTCGCTATGGTGTAACCAAAGAAGATCAACGAGACCTCTTTTCCGTGCCTCCTGATTATTCGCTCGCTCATTGTGTGGCTCGAGATTTGCGGATGTCCAGAGGAATCGCTGCGACGTTCAATGAGAAGTTTGGGCGTGTCGGAGAACTACGCCGACAGGATCCAGAGGTTGGAAGCGTCTTGAGGCTAACCGACAATGCACATGGTCAAGCAAGGCACATCTTCTACCTGGTCACCAAGGAATGGTCCCCGAGTAAGCCGACTTATCTCAATCTATGGAAGACCCTGATTGAACTGAGAGAAGCCCTGCTAAACAACAACATTGCACGATTAGCCATTCCGAAGCTGGCGTGTGGACTCGATGGTTTGAGTTGGCGTACAATCCGGAACATGATTGAAGTCTTGTTCAGATTTACGGGAATCGAGATCCTCGTTTGCTGCTACAACCCAAAGCTGAGATCGGGAGAGAAAACTGTAGACTGCTATTTCTACCAGACTTCGCAATGTACCAGGGGCCAGCTTTGCAAATACCTTCATTCACCGTATAATCTCGGGACGAGCATGTACCTAAGAAGGGGCAGTGTTGCGGGCCGGTGTGGACTCGACCTAACCTCACAATATGGCCCGCCCTCGGATGACCTTAACATCGCATAGACACCGCAATGATTCATTCGTTCGAGAAGAATCGAGTCCCACTGGAATGGACCAGTACATACGAGAACATTCGAAAACCTTCTCTACGCACCCTAACGATCTATGGACAATTCTAGAGTTCTTTACCTGCCGGTATAAAAGCCGGCGGCCGTGGCCTACAGGGGGCAGTTATAAATATACCAGTGCAGTTGACGCGCTAAAATTCAAAATAAATTCTTAGTTATAAATCGTTTGTAAATAGTTCTATAAGTCGTTTATCGTTATTAGTTTTGTTAATTAGTGTTAAATAAATAGTGTTTAAATAAATTGTGACTTTCTATCCACACGGAACCGACGAAAAACGTAACAGTATGTATTATAATTTTTTTTTCAGAATTTACAAATTTTGCGTCATTGACACTTTTTACCGTACCGAAATCTAACATTTCTTTAAACAAAAATGGAATTATTACAAAATCGGTTATTTTAGATATATAATATGATATGCAAAAAAAGTTACCGAATTGTACCTAGCATCTAATAATAAAATAAAAAATAGGGTATTTCCATTAAAACATACCGCGTGTGACAGAGTCAGAGTGTTATTTTTTCTCAAATAAAGAAAGAAAATTTATGTTATATACTAGCATACCAAATTTCGTTTTTTATCTGAAAAAATAAAATAGTTATAGGGGGTGAGCCACTTTTGAGGCCCCTGTATACTATACAGTAATTTTCAAATGTGCTTCCTAATCTTAACTATAACTTTTCTATTTAACATTTTGTTCTAAAAAACGAATTTTGTAAAAGACGTCGTGTCAATGTCATGTCAAACGTCGTGTCAGACGTTGTGTCAAATGTCGTGTCAACAAATGAAGGGTAAAAGGGGAAAAATCGACGATGAATAAAATAGGACGAACCAAACATCATGTTAAAGATACAAAAATTTATTACTTATGCGTTATTATTTACTGCATCTTTTTCATCGGACATGTTTACACAAACCGGTCACTCTTCACTACGATCCAACTCGCTTGCCTCGTGGCAGGCTTGCGTCAAAAAATGGATAGAAAATGTCTTGCTCTCGTCTCGCACTCGTCTTGCTCTTGTCTCGCACTCGACTCCTCAGGTCTGGACGCACCATTAGGTAGCAAAAGTACAAGCTGCAGTACAAAACACATAAACAGATTTTTTTTTAAATTCGTTAACAAAAGAACAGTCCAAAACCAATGTGGGATAGATAGTTATGGTGATATGCATTGTGGGGTGATAGGCAATGAATTATTTCATTTTTACCACAGTATTTTTTATTGATAGTAACAGAGTGTTTTTGTTGTTTTCAGACCATAAAGGTTTTACAATTAAGACTGGCAGACTTGAAAAAGACTCTTCAACAAGAACTCAGGACCCCGGCCAATTCAAATTTTCAAAACGATTTTATCGAATCTAATTCGGCAGCTGTTCTTCAACCGAGTCAAATATCAACAAAACATTTCCCTAGCGTCGTTAAAAGAGACGAAGACGATGTTAATTTTAAGTATTTGAAGCATGTTGTGATTAAATTTTTAACAAGGTAAGTTTGAATTTGTTGAACGAAATTTGTATTGTTCTATACCGGGTGTTTTAAAAAACATGTGCCATCTCTCGTGGGGAGAATCCTCACGCAAAAATAAGATTTATTTTTCATATCAGCATAGGTCCAATTCTACTTTGTTTCGTAGCTTCAGGGTGTTTTTTTCAATTTATTATAATTTTCTTCCAAGTATTTTTTAGCGTTTGGAATAAAATTTTGAGGGTAAAAGTTACTTACATGCGACATATTTTAAAGCTAAAAAAAGTGTCGACATATTCGCCAGGGACGTGCATATGGGTTATCACTGGAATATTTTCCTAAAAAAAGTATGTATGCCACTGACTTTTTTTCTCTTGTTAGCGAAATGGTGTGAGTTTAATGCCAATTAGAAGTTGTCTCTTGATATTTTGTCGATTTCAGCCTCCTTGATGAGATAAACGCAATTTTATTAATTTGCCTTGATCCAACTCTAATAGCAACCTTTAAAAAAATCAATATCATTAACTTGCGAAAGTTTTATATATATAATTTATTAATAATTTTATTTTTATTTTAATTTTATTGTGATTAAATAAAATTGCGTTTATCTGATCAAGGAGGCCGAATTCGATAAATATCAAGAGATAATTTTTAATTGACATTAAACCGCCTACACGATTTTGATCAAAAGAAAAAATCAGTGGCAGACGTTTTTTCTGAAAAATATTCCATTGATAATCCATATGCACGTCTGTGAGGAATTTATCTCCATTTTTTTTAGCATTAAAATATGTAGCACTTCTATTAACTTTTACCCTCAAAATTTCATTTGAATCACTAAAAGTACTTGGAAGAAAATTATAATAAAAATCGAAATATTATTAAGACTTTAACACCCTGTAGCTACGAAACAAATTGTGAAACGTGAGAAATCTCCCCAAGAGAGATGGCACGTTTTTTGAAACACCCTATGTACAGTATGTCCCTCGATTGTCTTTACAAGAGGACATTTTACCTGGTACTTTTAACTGCCAGGTAATACGTTATGTCTACACGGGGTTACGATGGAAGTCAGTTCTATAGGTTTTCCCTTTTAACTGTAAAACTGTAGGTGTAGACGGGTCTTTAAGCTTATTTATTATTGCAGTAGAGAATATGAAGCTCAACATTTAATTAAGGCAATTTCAACACTTCTGAAGTTTACACCTGAAGAAGAAAAACTAATACAGGACACGTTAGAATGGAAAAAGTCTTGGTTTGGAAGTAAACCAAAGATCTCCAAAGTTCAGAAAACTGTTAGTTTCGCCAGTTGATAGCACGTAATTTATTTTCAAGCCTAAGTATTATGAAGAAATGGTTTTAGAAGCGTTCCTGCGAAGGGCAAACGGTAAATGATTATATGGGGCGAAACAGAACATAAAAGTGATATTGAGTTTCAGGCTGAACTGATATAATCGGAGCTCATTGTCACAAGTTTTAATATAATAAGTAAGGTTCCAAAAAGTTTTTATATACATTTGCTAAATTGAGCTTTAACTGTTGATTGAAAAATTTACTAAGTGCGAATCTGTTTAATTTTTATGTATTAAATTATCCAGAAAAAAAATAAGGTTATACATTTTGTGATTTTATTAAATTATTTTAATTTATTGTTGCTGCATATATATGATGTATCATACTAAGTTCTTTTTAGTTTTTAAAAACATTCACTAGGTAAATGTTCAACATTTTAATATTTTTTCAACAAATTAATATTTATGTATATAAAGTTATGTTGTCCATTATTTTTATTTAATAATATGTATATAATTGTAAAAATATGCTAGTTGGATTATACAATTTATGTAGATTAATATGTAGCCAGCCTGACTCATATTAAAAATATTTTAATCTAAAGGGTTTCGTTGCAGAACGTTTTTAAGGATCATACAGGGTGTGCTAAAAAGTTGACAACAAATGTGATTTGAAAAATATTGGTAAATTTAAAAAACATTTCTAAGTATTTCAATAGGTACTATAAAAAACTGTTTCCCGTATATTTTGGACAGTAATAACCTTATTCTTTGTGTGTGTATTTCTTTTCTAAAATTGTCGTCATGGAAGACATTATCACATGACATGTTAAAATATTTTTATATTGAGCATCATATTTTTTTAAATAATTCTAATTTTTTCCATATCTTGCGAACTTTTTGCACATCCTGTATATCTTTAACGGTTTTCATTTTTAAACAATTTTCTTAATACGGTTATTTGATTAAAGTAAATGAATTTATGCATTCCCAATTTTATTTTTAAATATTTTTTGTATGAGTCAGAATTGCCTATCTACAATCTTACTCTGAATAAAAGTTTTATAAAGTAAATGTGTGTTTTAATAAACAAAACAACAATCAATAAAAATTAAAAATTTTATTAAATTTATAAAATCTTAATTACCTACAATACATTACGCAGTACGTTAAGAATTATTTACTTATTTACTACCGATATCACATATTCCTTTTTTTATTAATATGAAAATAGACGCTATAAAGTCACTGATAAGAGAATTGAGTCAATAAATGCCATATATCGCTATGAGTCACCTCCATCGTGGATATTTTTAGGTTTCCATACCTTTATCACCTTATCTTGACTACCTGTTGCCAGTAAACTTTTATCTTTTGCAATATCCACTGTTAATATGCTTTCTAAAAAAATAATATAGTATGATTAGTATGTTTGTTTGAATTTTAATTTCACGGTAATTTACATTAAAGGCAAGTTAATGTAGAGAAAAAATTGGAAATACATGACCACGACCAATCTAGAGACTTATATTTATACCACGCTGGTAACTCTTACTTTTGGGTCGGTATTTATATATGTGGAAGTGAATAGCTTAGGAATATTATAAGTCGGAGCGAGAAAAATGCAACGGTGTGCTGTTGCGGCGTTGCCACACATTTTAGAGTGATACCAGTACGCTTTTCCCTGTCTAGTGGAGTAAAATCACTGTCGAAAGGCGCTTATTTTTAGGTCCTTTTAAGTAAAAAGTAAAGTGAAGTAAATATTTCAGTTAACGTCTCCTTTTTGCTGTATATGGAAAATACAACAACGATTCGTTAATAAATAAAGAAATAAAGTATAACGAGTATAACGAGACGTAATTAAATCGTGAAGCTGAAAGCATGATGTACACCCTTCCCTAGAAATCTAAGTACTGGATTTCAATTTTATAAAACTTATCAATTTATGCAGTTAACCGCGACAAATCAGCCTTATACCCATCCACGTCTCTTAGCAATGTGCACAGTTACTCGGTTTATTTCATACGTTTGGCAACGTTTTTACTGTTCTGTCTTTGTTCAGTACATTATAAATGCATTGTACTCTTCTTACATACGGAAATCTCGACCCAAACATAAAACTTGCCGACCCTAGTATAGTCGACGCAATGGGAAAATGTATGAATAATATATTATATAATAATGACTGCCACTGTCATATATTTTATAGCGTTTTGTTGGTCCTTTGTTGGACAGACAAAAAAACTTTTTTTGCCTGTCCAAAAAGACTTTTTTGAAGAGGCTATAGAGATCATCTTTTATAAATTTCCTTAATATAACAGAACCACCCGTTCAAGTGAGTCAAAATTGGTACTCTTCAAAATTCAGATGATTCAAGTAACAAGATTATGTTCGACATTACACCATATCAATGAGATTCAATATATTGAATTTTTACTGAATCATTTTTTCTTACCTAAATGAGCCTTTTTTTCCAATAATATCTTTACTTGAAACATATCCCATATCAATAATGTACCATCATCACAACCGATAACAAGTAAATGACCCCTCCATTTCAGAGATTTAACGGACGATTTCAACGTTTTATTGAAAACCGATAATCCTAAAATCAACGTTAGTTTAGTTCAGAGTTAGAACTAACATTTTTTATCCTTATTACCAGTATTAACATCTAAGATTTGAAAACATCCATTTTCCGAACCCAGTGCTAATTTTTGACCGTCACAGCTGTAGTTTATTGCGTTTATTTTACTTGATATGTCAAATTTCTTAGATAATGTGAAATTTTGTGTTTCCCAAATGTATAATTCTCCATCGTCTGTACCAACAGCTAAGTGATGGTCATCCCTGTAGTAAATGAAAGAAAACATACTAGATGATTTGGTGTTAAGAGGATGAGTAATAGGTTTGATCCTTCATATACAAAAAGTTTAACTATATTCTGTTAAAAATATTGATCTAAACACGTGTCTGAAAAAGTTCAGAAAAACGTGAAACCGTCGATTGAAAGAATTGGGAAGATATGCAACCTAATGGGCGAATTCGTGACAAAGGGTTTTTTGATTTCCCCTAAGTCTCAAGTGCTGTACGGTGGAGACACCACTCGTTCTGCGGCTAACGCATAAAACACTCATTTTCTCTAATTCGGCCAGCAAAGGCATATCGAAGACGGTGTGGATCTGAAAGCGACAGTGTTGCCATATTAAAATGTGGAATATCTCTAATACATTTGACGAAAATATCTTTGGATGAAAAATCCACGTTTATGAATCGAAACTTTATTTGTGTTAAACATAGAATAAACAACAAAAATACAAATTCTTTTTAAGGTACTGAATATGTCGTATAATCGAAAAAAGTCGGTTAATTGGCTTGGAAATGGCCATTATTGACATTTACTATAATATTTTACATATAACACAGCGATCTTCATTTCCAAGCCAACTCTGACGACGTTCTTTGTTCAGTCATATAATATTATATATATTAAATTGTTTAACGATAGAAAATACGTATTATTAACGTACTGTATCCAAAATCCGCAAATCTACGGATTAATCAGTAGTTCTGGCAACACTGTCTCCCGCAACCACTCACTCTGTCGACTGAAAGCAGAACTACGGTATAGTATTCTTTATCCGCGCGCAGCCGCGCTGAGCTAAACTATATCTCGGAATTCTCGGACAGACCGACGTTAACGCCAGCTACATCTCGCACAGGTTTTGTGCCACAAAATTGCCCGTGAGGTTGCGCATCTTCTTATTTCTTCAATAAAAAGTGAAACAAAACTGACAAAAGAAGGTATTTTTATGACGTTGCTTCTGTCACTAATGCATAAATGCAATTTACCTGTCAAAACAAATACAGTTAACTGCCGAGTTGTGATCCAAATGTTTATAAAGGCACTGCACTGCTAGATCTTTGATGTTGGTGTTCAGTCCTTTCCAGATTTTGACTGAACAATCGCTACTGCCTGATACAAATAAGTGAGATTTTTCTCCAAGAGACATACAGGTTACTGTATCTTCGTGTGCTTCTACATTAACTGTAACTTTACCATAATCCAAATCATATAGTAATCTATAAAATTCGATGAGATATAAATATCAGATTTTATGAAATATTCTGAAAATGGTTACATCTGATTATCCCAAGTACCAATAATTAAGGTGTTGGCATTTGGCAGTGGTATGCAGCAACTTAGAGGCATATTTCCAATGTTGGCACTTCTGGTTTGCCTGTTTTGGTTCAAAGAAAACATTTTTAACTTTGAATCGTGCCCTACAGATATTATATTTGAACAGTCATCGCTGATATAAATGTAATTAACTGCTGTTTTGTGACTATTGAAACTTGCAGAAAGTTCTAAATCTATAGCAGTCTTCCACATATCTAAAGTAATAATACGCTGTTCAGAATACTGTCTTTTTGAACCATAAATAAACGTTTTACCTTCCAAAATATCCTCTTCTTGTTCGATTTGGTGAGGTTCTGTAAGTAACTGAGGGCCTATCTTTCTTTTAGGATGGGGAACTGTAAATACTTGTTTAGGTATTTGACCAAATTCCATAATTTGGACTTCAAGTGCATGCTTATCGTTTAAGTCTGATATAGAATCTAGATCTACATTGCCTTCATAGCACAAATGATAGAACACTAAAAGAGCAATAATTTAGACCTAAGATATCTAAAAATAATTTGTCTTACAATTTTTGGCCTTTATTGCCTCTTCCCCTTTTTGTTTGTAGCCAAAAATCAGATCAATCCAATTATGTAAATTATTTGAGACAACATCGCTCTCTAGCGCGTTCCTTAAAGTTTCTACAAAATGTTTTGGACTTTCTGCCCACGGAGGCATTTCAACATCACCCACTTGTAAGTTGTTATGTCTCAAACCAAAATTTATACCTAAACTATTCTTCAAAAAATTTCCTGAAATTTGTTTATTACTGATTTTTGTTCATGTAGGTAATAGTGATGTAACGAATATCAATATTTAAACATTCGCGAATGCGAATATTAAGTTGTTAATAGAAAAAAAAGGCTTGGAGCATTTTAGTTATTATTTTAAAAATTCCGACCGCAGCGCTTGATACGGCAGAAATTAGAAGTTGTAATCGCTATGTATTTCACGTAGTTCCAATGTTGATCGTATTGAAATAATATTAAAATCGCTTTGTCATAAAAAAGAACCTTTTTGTTTTATCTCAAGGGCGACCAACTGAAACTTTAACCATAAATTGCAAAAAAGAAATAAGAAAAAATGGTGAATCTTATAATATTAAATTTAAGTCTTCCTGGTTTTCTGATTTTAATTGGCTATGTAGTAGTATTGTTTTACAAAAATTATTTTGTTGGTCGTGTTTACCATTTTCAAACATGGCATTTGGAATAAAGAAGGGTTCACTGATTTTGTAAACATAACAAGATCTTTGCATAAACACGGGGATTCTGCAGAACATTTAAAATGTCAGTTAATGCTAAGAAATTAAAAAAAAAATCAAAATACAATAGCCGATGCTTTAGAAAAAAAAAAACGTTAGACTCTATAAGCTTAATTTTAATGAAAATGTTCGTTTAAATAGGCTTTAATGTGTGAATATAATTAATTAATTAAATGACGATATTACTGATAAGTTTGCATCAGAAAAGAACAGAAAATTGTGCTGATTTACAAAAATTAGTAAGGTTAGTAATATAAATAAGTCAAATTTATTTTGGTTAATATATTGCTTAGTAAACATTAATGTAATAATAATTAATGTAATAATTGAATAATAAATTGAATGGCTCCTCGGTTGTAACCAACAATTTTTTCAATATCGAAATTTCAGTGAAAAAATCGAGGGAAAAACGCTATACCTATGAAAATTACAACCTTATTTCACTGAAATCTCTATTTTGATAAAAATGTCGGTTACAACGTTTTTCGGGAAAGCCATTCAATAATTACAGTGTTCGCCATAAAGTTGGATCCATATGGACTGTTTTTTTGCTATTAGAGTTCAAAAAAAAAATTGTGGCTATCAATTCTGCTTTAAAAACAACTTAAAATGCACCAAGTCAAAGTTGAAACATAATTTTGTTAGTCTCTTTTTTTTTAAATAATAATAATTTAACCAATTTTTAAAAATTTCTTTTAAATATTTTGTATTTGACAGCTCCCAGATGTTAGCTGTCAACTTTGGCTTGGTGCATTTGTTGTTTTCAAAGCAGAAGTGATTGCCACAAAAAGGTTTTTTTAAACTCCAATATAAAAAAAGAACGTCCATATGGATCCAACTTTATGGTGGACACTGTATATAACGTTTATTATATTTAATTTAAATTTAATTATATTTTCACTGGAATGCAAAATAATGTGTTTATCGAAAACTGGTTGTATCTCTTTTTACTTAACGCGTTTTAGCCCAAACTAAAACGAAAATATTATAGGTATTAGTGTATAAATAATAGGTAACAAAAAAAATGATGAGAAAACGGTGAATGCACCAAAAAATTTTCAAATAATATTTTAAAAAATGTTGACAAAATGGTGAATGCACCAAAAAAAATTTCGGCTGCGGCGCAATTTAAAAAAAATTAACTCTTCACTTAATTTTTTACCCACGAGCCGCCACTGCGTTATAGTCCAAATAGCTCCAGTTATGACCCCACCAAGCAAAATCGGTGCGTAAAACTATGCTCTGTACCGTAGTTGAACTCATCTAAAAGTTTTTTAGCTGCAATAATAAATTATAATACAAGTTATAGACCTTCTAAAGATATCAAAATATTTACTTTCTTATTTTTATTTTTAGAATTTTCACAAATTATACTTCCTTACACTTTTAGAATAATTATATAATACATTTTTCGTATACTCGCTATTTAAACTCGTGTATTTGTATATACAGGTTGTTAACTGGAAAGTTACTTATAGGGGAACAGAATGGCAATACTGCCTATTAAGAATGCATGCTAATAGGGTTTTCTGTCGACTCGTCCCGTCGCGTTGTCTATCGACGAGCGGGCCGAGGTTGCCATATTTCAACCACAAAGATCTTGCCGCGAGTAATAAACAAATTAACAACCTGTATACCGATTGTTTACGATATTCTCCGATGGTGTCAGTACCGGTTGAGAAAGCACCAAGCCTATATGTAAACTGGTAACATATTCGTTACATCATTAGTAGGTAAGTTACCCACCCTCATGAGAACTGTCATAAAATTCCGGTATCAGTTCTTTAAAGTCCGACATATTGTTAAAACAATTTCTGAACGCATCTGCTACAGAGTTAAACATTCTATCTGGATGATCAAATCTACCACCTTGCATACACAATACATAATGCGGATAAAGTCTTGCTAAGTAATAAAGAACAAATCCAGGAGTGGAATAATGAGATCCATATATAAATTGTGGACTTGCCATTTCATTGTATCTAAAATATACCTAGTATATTTTCGCTTTTTATTGTTTCTTAAATATAATTCGTACCGATCTAATAATCTTTTCAAGCGATCAGGATTTAAAGCACCAACAGGTTTTGAGAGGTCCCTATAATTATTTGGATCAGACAAATCCAGTTCTTGGCTGGTATAGTTTGTTATGATCCAAGGAAATACTGGATACTGAGTCAAATCGTTCACTGTTCTATCACCTAAACTAAATAAACAAAATGAAACTGTTTCACATTAAGTATTAATCACTAGCGTAATTTACCATTTTACATACAGAAATAAATATTCTTTTCCTGTTATTATCAGATGAGTCATTCATATTGAATAATAAGTTTATCTGTTGAGTATAATGGGATTACCTATTTATATAAAGTAAATAATCAAAATTGGAGATAATGCCATTCTGCCATTGTAAAGTAATTACATTTTGTTCAATATTGTTTAATTGCAATTCCGGTTGTTCTAACAAATTTTCATAAAAACCATCTCTCTCATTTTGATTTCTAAACGAAAGATATATATGGGAATTTGTATTATCTGAGGAGTAAATTTCTAAGCCCTATAATATAGATTCATTTAGTTCATAATACAATAATTAAAATCAATTCAAACTTACGATATGTCTAAGTAAAAATCTTCTCTTTACAATCTGCTTAATACTTTTTAAATTTATCTTTATTACAAGGCTCTAAAATAAATATTTCGTTTACATAAAGCTAGATATTAGGTCCCTTCATTACTTACTGTCTCTATATTATTATAAGGTTGAAAATATAATCTTAATGTCGACAACAAAACTCTGCCCGGGTTAATAATTAGTGGACAAATTTTATCAGCTTGTGTTTCAGTAACTACTTTTTCATACAGATCCATCCATAATGGATTAAATGTTACTCTAGAGTGTTTTGAATGAACTATTGCACTTATCTTTTAAAACAAATAAAAATTAGTATGTAAAAATATGTAGTTTTGTTTTTATTACTTACCATATTAGATTGTTCTACAGAAGGCAGAGTAGTTGCCCTTTGGAGCTGTAACATCATTGCTAAACAATTGGAAATGCTTGCGTAAGTTAGAAGAAATAAGAAATATGAAGACTCCCGAAACTTATAAGGAGCTATAATGTTTCCTTCCAACATTTCGACATATTCCTTGCAGTTAATGCTCAACACATTTTTACTTTTAATAAATTTCGCCTTTCCTTTCCATTCTTCGATAATTATGCAACTTTTTAATGGAATTTTAATAAGCGGCTTTGTAAGGTCTTTCGGATCAAAAACCAAAGATTTTGAACACATTTTAAGCCTCCCATCCTGCTTTTTATTGTCGTAAGTGGTTGGAGTTGTATCTGGCGGAATTAAAACAGCGCTAAAATCTTCGAAATATATTTCGCCGGGATCCAAAAGTAACAATGAAAATCTAAAATAAGTATTTTGTAATAAGAAAAAAGTTTAAAATATTTTTATTTACCTTTCTTTATCCATGTTGACAACTTATATTATTTTATATGGATTGCGGTTTGTATATTGCTTTTACAGTTAATTTATCCATTTAGGTATTTACCAGAGAGTATTTACAATCAACATTATTTAAATTATTTTGTGTTGACAGGCTTCGACTTTCGACATAACAAAATTTTTATGATTTTTTGTTTTTGACATAAAATTTTTATAACCTAAAAACTGCAAAACTTCCATTTAAATTTTGATATTTATGATTTCGATATTTTCAAAACGCTTTGTCTTCACCGCCACCTATGAACGGGGATCTCATGGAGCTTGGTTTACACTTTGTTTTAAATATTTCTAATGTTTGATTTCTGCGATAGAGGCGCTGCTGTTAGTACATATACAGGGTCTTTATAATGTAACATAATGAAAATTAGAGCGTGATTTCTGAAATCATTTAAAGAAAAATGCGTTCTTGAATTCAGAAATAATACCTATAAGGTGTACGGTGTACGAAAATTCTCAGTTGAAATTTGGTATATACAAGTCATCGCTCATAAAGAAGACTCTTAATGAAATTTAAGGAAAATTAAAAAAATATCGTTTTTAATCGTATATTTTATTTCTGCATGAACAAGTGGCTTTACAGAATTGCGATCTTTGACGGCCTTTGGGTGTGTGAGTGCTGCATAACCATGACGGATGCATTCTATATAGTTGTTTACAGTTTGCCCAAATGTCTGCGTACTCACATGTATTAAGACACAGCTTTTTGCTGCAATTTTTCTTGCAGGAGCTGCAAGGATTTCCTTGCTTATAAGGAAAGGTGGTTCTTCCAGGTCTATTACCACTAAAATAATCGATTATCAAAATAAATATTATACCGGGTGCGTCTCAAAAGTGGCTCACCCCCTATAACTTTTTTATTTTTTCAGATAAAACAACGAGATTTGGTATGTTAGTATATGACATAAATTGGGATTGATTGACATATTCAATTGTTTTCGGTCATTTTCGGTTTCACCGGAAATGACTACAACTTTCGATTTTTAAATGGCACCCTCCGTATTTTTTTTACTTTATTCGATAGAAAATGACACTCTGAATAGAATGACATATCATATGTCAACTTTTGACATTTTCGCATATGGTTTATTTGAAATTGTAACATGTAGTTCATAATGACAATTTGACTCCAAATACCAAGTGTGTGGTATCAAATTATTCGTAAAAAAATGCCTTTTACAAATATGTTAACGAGACATCCTCGTTCCATTTGAAAAAATTGAGATATGATTAAAAATACGATTTGGGTATCTTTTAACCGGTCAGGATAAGACACTAAAAACATTAGACGATTAAATTTAGTTTTCCAAGGCTCCTTGATTAAAAATTAGTGTTGTTAACACACCCATGGCACTCTAGATTAAAATTTAAAGTTGTAGACATTTCCGGTGAAACCGCAAGCGACCGAAAACAATTGAATATGTCAATCAATCCTAATTTATGTCATATAATAACATACCAAATCTCGTTTTATCTGAAAAAATAAAAAAGTTATAGGGGTGAGCCACTTTTGAGGCGCACCCGGTATAACAGACCACTATTTTTTTTGGTATATATTAATGTACCATACGATAAAAAAACCGCGACAGAGATGGCTTGGAATAACGCTGTCATTTTGTATGTAAAATTATATAGGCATTATCGATGACATCAATCGTCATTTTAAAGCCAACTGGACGCTGTTAATGTAGCGTACTAACTTACATAGGACAATAGTTGCATATGTAATTATAAAATATTCTTTTCTTTTCAAGCACTTCTTTCTGTTCATTATCGTAAACTTTTTGGTAGCATTTTGCTAATCCACATCCTACTTCATGGGTTGCAGCCCACACTAATTGAGTGTAGTGTCCAACAATGGTCATATTATTTTTCTGTCCATATTTAAATTCGTTTTTTTCCAACCACCAGGTCTCAACAGCAAAAAACCTAAATCATAAGGACATACTTATATAAAATTATATTATATTATAATAATATTATAGAAAAATAGATTCATAAAATTTATTTTTTGTTCAACTTTGATAAATTAATGACTAAATAATTAAGTTTATTTTCTAGCAGTGTTTAAGATTTTGTGAGATATATTTTTTTATTTTTTCGTCCATTAAAATAGAAAGGTATGCTTTAGAAGTACCATATGGTCGAAATAAATCGGCTCTTATTCTCTTGACAGTATGTGAGAAATCTTGAAGAACACCCATAGGTATATTTGATGCCAAATAAAATTTTAGTTACGTAATCGAGGGCGTGATTTTTAAATTCATTGTTGCCAACCATGGACATATTCGGCGCCGAGCTAACTAACTGGGGATTCAAATGGTTAGGTAAAAAAAGTTTAGGTTCCACATTTATTTATTTATTTCCTGACATTGTCATTCGTATTGACACTTCGTACAAGTGTACAAGATAGCTTATTAGCCGTAAAAAACTCATCGCAACTTTATTAGAATATTTTGAACTTTATGTTCCTTATAAGAGCTGTTAAGAAGGTGAGTTTTGTTGATGTAAATAATAACTGTTTATATATTTATAATTAATTTATTTTTGTTTTCTAAAATATTTTGATTAAAAGAAAATATGTAAAAGTTGGCAATGCTGTGCCGGTTAAGTTTAATCACGTGATTAAAAGTTTATTTGATATGAACTATATATAGGGATTGGTCAGTGAACATCTCTACTGTAAAAAAAATACATTTTGTCTGTATGTAAACTTACCATGGTACTTTTTTGCTGGCAATAAATATATTTTGACCGCAAGCTCCATAGTTTGGGATATGTCTTCCAACAACGCTGTCATGGACTAAAAATTCACATTTGTTTGCCCATTTTTGAGCCGCTCTTGCGGCACCTTTATGCCATTTCTGAAAAAATACACAAACTATTTCAAAGAAAGGACTTCTGTTGAGTCTTTTTTCGGTCCTAACTCAATTAGAAAAAAAAACAGTATAAATTATTTTGGATGGACAACACTAGAAATTAAATATACTTACCATTTTCAACATATTACTGGCTATAGGTTTAACCTTCGATCTGTAATAATTGTGGTACAACACTAGCTTATTTTGGACTCTCTTTCTATGAGGATTGATAGCCTTGAAGGGCAGCATATCTCCCATCAGTTGTGGTTCTATATAAAACAATTAGATAAATTTAAATAAAATTTTATAATTATTTAGGACTTACTTCTTTTAGGATCAAAATGCAGCTGCTCTTCGGTTAAATCCAATAAATTTAAACCCACAATCAAGAAAAATAGATTTATCTTAAACATCTTTTTTCACTATTATCTCTGCTACTTTTTTATAGTACAACTTTCTAATCTAAAAAGAAGACTGCAGTTCATTCACTAGACACTAGAGCCGTATTTTAAATAGATACATTAAGATTTAAATTCAAATATACAAGGTGGTTTAATAATTTGAGGCATGAGAGGAAACATATGTAAGAATGATCTATTTACAATTTTTTTTAGTTTTTAGATTTAAGTTTTAAGTTTTTAACCACATTTTAATTAAAGAAAAAATATTAATACACTCAGATGAAAAAATAAGAAACGGAACACATTTTCTCGTCAAGTTTAAAGTGTTATATTTTTTTTAGTTTTGGCCCTATTTTCATGAATTTTTTAGCAAACTGTATATAATTCAATATAATCAACTTTAATCCATAAACTCAGTTCTAATAAACTTTTAGTATCTGGCTTATTATACAGGGATAAATGAAGGGTTGTTGTTTACCCTAACTTTAAAATACTCTATGCAATAATTTCGTGAGTGAATGGTACTGACCGAAAAATAATGTTTTAGTCAAGTCTATTACAATTTTTTTTACAAACACACTATAGAAAAAAATAATTTATTGAACGATGCAATTTATGATTAAAAAATAAACGAATTTAGCAGACGATATGTCTAGCACACTTATATACCATATGGTAAAGATGTATTAGACATTAATAGAGTAGATGGGTAGGTGTTTGAATTATATCCCAAATTTTACACCTATATCCATCTGGTATAATCGATAATTTTAATTAATAAAAATAATGACTTACTTTTTGATGGAATACGAAAATTTCTTTTGTTAAATGGGATAGGTACGTCGAATTGAGATCTTGATTATATTAAGAGTGGAGTGGACAGCATACTACACAGATTTGACCCATTTAACTATTTACATTCGTTTATTCTAATTGGACATTATGATTAGACTGCTCAGTACTTGTCTGATGCACGAGTTTAAGTGTTTTCAGGACAGTGGCGTGTTTTGAATGAAGGAAGTCTAGGGATGATCGAGTGGACTACTACCAGAGACAACTATGGAGTGAGTTTAGATATAGTTTATTTAAACATGATCCAGCGATAGCTCTCGATATTTCGAATTATTTTTAAATTCCTTTTTTGTTTCCAAATTTAGCATAAATAGCACCCTGTATATTTGGGACAACTAATATACAGCTCGGGTATTTCTACTACCAGAAATCAACAGAAGAATTAAGTTAGCATGAAGTACTCATGGAAGAAACTCAATCATATTCAAATGTAGAATGCCATTTTATCTAAAGAGGAAACCCAATGTGTAGTACCAGTCATGCATGCGAAACTTGGACACTTAAAACGGACATCATAAGAAAACTGCAGGTCGCACAACGCTCAATGGAGCGAATTATTCTGGGAATAACCAGGAGAGACCGCAAAAGAATAGGGTGGATACGACAAAAGACCCAGGTAATAGATGCCTCCCACAGAGTTAAATCCCTCAAACGGCAATGGGCAGGACACCTGCCAAGAAGAACAGACATCAGATGAACCACAAAAATGACAGTATGGTCAAGGGCGTAGATAAGGGGGGGGGGTACTGGGGGACAGTACCCCCCCCCCCTGACGCTTGACGAGATACGAGAATTGAAATAGTCATTGACTACGAAAGGATATTTTAAAATTAATATCCGACATATAAGAACACTTTGTATGCTTTTAATTATGTTGATTTATCGTTTATAATATGTTCGACCTAATTAAAAGCACACAAAGTGTTCTTATTGGCCAGGACAGATTAGTGGGGTTAACTCTAATCAATATCCATAAAGATATTGAAAAAATTGTTGATGCTGTTATTGATAGGTTTTCCAAACAGCGTACTAGAAAACTTGATTTTGTTTTGTAGTTTTATTTATAGTTTATAGTTTTTATAGTTTTTTTTGATAGTTTAGGGTTTTTTATTTATAGTTTATAGAAAATTAACTAATAAACGTCGTTGTTTCATTTTTGTTTATGTTATTTACAAATCTATATTTTAATTTTTGTGTTATGTTTTTATATCTTTTTGAAGACAAAAAAATCGCCGTCGTTTTAATTCGACAAAAAAATTCCGACGGTGATTTTTTTTGCGACTTAATCATAGTACCACCCCCATAGCATACACCTATCTACGCCCCTGAGTATGGTACCCACGGGGATTTAAGAGACCTAGAGGAAGACCGAACCTGAGATGGGATCATTTGGGTCCGTATAGACAACAATTGGAAATGGTTGAATAAGCTGAAAATGATGATGATGATGATACTATCACAGATAATATATACTATCACAGATAATTCAAATACTATGGTAACTTTGGTATTAGTAAAAATCTACTAAACGTATTGTATCTCTTACAATCAATTTTATTTTATAGTATAAGATAACACCGAGGAAAACACACATAAAAGACGTAAAACTATTTTGTTTGATATTAAAAACTAGAATTGTTTAATTTAAAAATATATTCAAACAAAATTAAAAGTTTACTAAATCTAATTCTCTATCCATTATCAATGTGACGATTAGTTTTTCTTCATTAGCATCAAACTGAGCGTTGCCTTTCTTTGGATCAACCGGCTGGGGTAGCTTTATGTCTAAGAAAAACCTTGGCGAAATCAAAATAAGCTTTTCTTTTTCCACTTTCAAGTCCACGTTCTGTCGACTCTCCCCTGGTAAATCAATGGTAACAACCATGTTTTCGCAGCTTGAGGTTGAAGGATTTTTGAAGCCCATCTGAAAATATATGATTATCTTTATTTAATTACTGTTTTAAGAATTGCATGATTGTTAATAATAGTTATTTTTTATACAAGACGATAATGCAATTTTATCGTCGTGTATAAAACAATATTTTTTTCCATAGCGAGTTACGTTTTAAAAAATATTCAGAAATTATTACGAGGCATGTTTTTTAAGTAAGTACCGTTTTGGAATTAAAAAAAAAACGTGCAAAGATATCGCAATAATTTTATTTTTACATGAAAGCCTGTACCTTAATCTACTATTCTACATAATTTCCGTGAATATTGAGGCACTCTTCATAACGTGGCACCAGTTTTTCAATACCCTCCTCATAAAATTCTGCCGCCTGACTGGTTAACCACTGTATCACAACTGTTTTGACTTCGTTATCGTCTTGAAGACGCTGACCGCCCAGGTGTTTCTTCAAGTGCAGGAATAAATGGTAGTCACTGGGCGCCAGATCAGGGCTGTATGGAGGATGATCTAGAGTTTCCCATTTAAAAGATTTGATGAGATCTTTGGTCAATGCAAATCCGTCAACATTTTCGGAACCCAACGTGAACACAATTTCCGGTAATTCAAGTTCTCGGTCACAATGCGATACAAAACACTACGAGAACATTGAGGAAAGTAGTCGCACAATGATGAAATTGTAAAGCGTCTGTTTTCTTTCACCTTTTCGTCCACTTTCTGCACCAAATCTTCATTAACGACCGAAGGACGCCCACTCCGTTCTTCATCATGCACATTGTGCGGCCATCTTTAAATGCTCTCACCCATTTCCTTACCATTCCATCACTCATAATGTTTTGTCCGTAAACTTCACAGATCTCACGATGAATATCGATCGGTTTTACGCCTTTAGCACTAAGAAATCGTATGACAGCCCGTACTTCACAATCGGCGGGGCTCACGATTGTCGGAGGCATCTTAAACACTCAATAAACAACGTATACAATGAAGAATCAGACCACAATCAGACTGTACTAGCGTCTGTGCATAGACAAGAGATGTAGGTAACCAGCGCGCATGCGCGGAACGCCGACCGTAGCGCTACGGCGGCGGAATGGCAAAACGGTACTTATTTAAAAAAACATGCCTCGTATTTCAAGGAATTTATTACGAGTAGAAAAAATATTGTGCTGGGTTGGCGTTGGTTTCTATGTAATTTGACAAATAAATAAAGCTGTCTCTTTAGTTGTCAGTTTTGAGTCAATATTTTTTAATTCTCTTTCGTGTCGATTGCTGATTGAATCGGAGCCAGAAATGGCTCAAAACGAAATAAGTAAATTACCAACAGATATTGAAGCTGAGGCGACAAACGCCATATTCAAACTACTTCCATTTAAATCCCGAATAACTTATGAATAGGAATACAAAAATTTTCAAAAATGGAAGCAATTAAAAAACGTGCGAGAAGAAATAAAGTTTTTAACCTATCCTCGCTGTTAAAGTATCATTTAATCTACCCGTCCGTTAAAGTACTATTTTATCTACTATTTTTGATAGATATAAGACAATTTTAACAGTTGCTATGGAAAAAATATAATTAGGAAGACTTCAGAGCACAAAACATCCCCCTTTAGAACTTCGTCTGTCATGTTAAGAAATGAAAGTAAATAATAAAGCGCCTCTCGTGTTTGTTCGCACTCTAAAAAATTCAATTAATGCCTGTATATATTTTTAATATATTTTTTAAATTTACATTTTTTTAATTGTAAAGTAATATATTACATTTAAATGGAATATATTACATAACAATTATGTCAATTACAGGATTACAAGCTTGTTTTCTAACATTTTTTAAATAAAACGAATTATAAAATTTCAATATATGTATATTTGTCGAATGGTATGAAGAAAGTAAAACATAAAATGGACAAACGCTTACTTACATTGCAATAAAACTTCCACTTTTAGTTTTGCAATCCAAACGCAATATTTCTATTTCACAAATAAGAATATCCGACAACACTAAAATCACTGAAACTTCCGCGGCTGACAACGAAAACTGAAAAATATAACGGCACTTTTTGTTTTGGACCTGCATATCAACATTACGCTGTACTATTATGTGTTTGTCGTTGAAATAATATAAAATATCTAATTATAACTTGTAAATTTTAATATTTTTACACGATTTTAACTACTTTTAACAATAACTAACTTTTTGTTATCAAGATGACATTTTAGACGGCAACTGACATTAAATTACTATAATGCAACTGCAACTTTATACTAAGAAAACATTCATACATTCACAAAATACAACAAAGTCTAATAATATAGTTTGAAACCCATGAATATTTAATTAAAATTGAAAAAGTTAAGCGCGACCCCTTGTGTCAAAATTAGATGATTATATTTTCGCAATTTTTACACCATTTGATGACCGGTGGCGCCTCTAGTGTTTGTTCGGGCGGTTGGTCTTTTACTCCCGCTTATGGCCATTAAAGAAAAAGTTCTAAAGGGGGATGTCTTGTGCTTCAGAGCAGTGATTCTCCAGGTGCAGACAGTCTACGTTGCAAAATAAAACACTAATTCTCCACAATACACCAAAACACTTTTCTTATAACACTAGTTAGCTAAACTCGTGTCCAGTGCAAAAGTAAAGTGTTTTGGTGTATTGTGGTGAATTAGTGTTTTATTTTGCTGTTGTTACACTATAAATTTACTTGCATAATTTGTTTGTACAGAAGTCTCTCCTGTATTTTAATTTCAAATAAAGCTATAATATTTAATGTTAGATTTTATTTATTTGTAAATATTTCGGCTATTTACCCCTAAAAATACATCGGTAGCTGTGACACTTTGCCTGTAGGATATGTCCCACTTCGGCGTTTTCTTCCAATCCTGAGAGGAAATTCCAGATGATTCAACGAATGTGTCAAAATCATCAGCTTCTGGATCTAAATGTTCTTTTCGTTCGGGTGGTTTAAGTTTATCATAAGGACTCTGCTTTTTCTTGATTTCTTTATCATTTCGATTCTTATTTTCATTCGAGGTACATTGGATATCGCTGGCTAAAAGACATTATTCTCATATTAAACATATACAAATATACCGGGTGTGCCTTAAAAGTCGCTCACCCCTATAACTAATATTTTCAGATAAAAAACCAGATTTGGCAGTAAGGATTTTTTTTTGAAGTAATATATGACATAAATTAGGATTGATTAACGTATTCAATTGTTTTTGGTCACTTCCTGTTTCACCGGAATTGACTACAACTTTTGATTTTTAATTAATTAAGTAGAAGTAGATTAATTAATCAAGTAGAAATATACCGATTTCTACTTTATTCGATAGAAAATGACACTCTGAATAGAATGACATATATTATGTCAACTTTTGACATTTTCGCTTAAAAAATAATCGTATCTTAAATTTTAATCTATAGAGGGCCATGGCTGTGTTAAAAACGCCAATTTTTAATCCAGGGGCCTTGGAAAAATAGAATTGATCTTTTGTTTTTCGTGTCTTGTCCTGGCAGGTTAAAATATGCCCAAACCGTATTTTTAATCATATCTCAATTTTTTCAAACGGAACAAGGGTGGCTCATTAGCATATTTGAAAAAAGCATTTTTTTACGAATAATTTGGTACGACACATTTGATATTTCGAGTCAAATTTTCGTTATGACCCACATGTTACAAATTCAAATAAACCATATGTGAAAATGTCAAAAGTTGACATATGATATGTCGTACTATTCAGAGTGTAATTTTCTATCGAATAAACCAGAAATATACAGGGTGCCATTTAAAAATGAAAAGTTTTAGTTATTTCCGGTGAAACAGGAAGTGACCAAAAACAATCGAGTGCGCCAATCATTCCTAATTTATGTCATAGACTAACATACCAAATCTAGTTTTCTTTATCTAAAAAAAAATAAAAAACTTATAAGTGTGAGCTCCTTTTGGGACGCACCCGGTATATTAATATACTCCGACGTTTGGATAGTTTGTATTTGTGGTTTGTATAAACCTTTGAATAAAATAAAAAGGTATAAACAGTATAAACCAGTATAAAATATTCAAGTAATTGCTTTAAACCGCAACACCACATAATTTGAAATAGTTTATAAGCTACTTACTATTACATTTATTATCTTCAAGTTCATCTTCTGCTGAAGCTACATTAAATAATTCAACTAGTTTTTCAATTTCAAAAATATTAGACATAATTGTTTGGATATTATGAAAGGTGTTTGATTATTGACAAAACTTTAGTCATACTTTAGTGACCATGGTGATTGCCTAATTTGATAGCTTACTGTAAAGATGGCTGTAGATCGATTATCATAGAAATACAGGGTGATTTACGTCTTAGGCTAATAAAATATGTTCAGTATCACAACACAATTATTCATTTAAACCAATAATTCGTAATACAAAACTAATGTGTCAAAACGAATGACAATGTCAGGAAATGAATAAATAAATGTGGCAATTTGACATTTCTTACAGCAGAGCTACCACCTGAATCCCCAGCGGGAAATTTAAATTCCAGTTAGTCAGCCCGGCGCCGAATATATCCATGGTTGGCAACAATGAATTTAAAAATCGCTCCCCCGATTACGTAACTAAAAGTTTAATTGGCATCGAATATAGGAAAATGGTGTATAAAATGATCTAAAGTCATCTTTAGAGTTTTTTAATTTAATTATTAAAAATATAGACACTCTGCATAGATCTCCAATGTATTTTTTACTGTGTGAGTGTTTCAATTTAACAGGTTATTAAAAGGACATAAAGTGCGATAATTTGTAGTATAACAATATTTGCAATTAAATAATTGTCAATTATTACCTTTTCGAAAACCAAGCCTTCGGCCAATATGTGACGGTTTTTAACATTGTTTTTATACGTTTTAAAAAGCTTAACGCTTCTTTCTAATAGAATAAGCAAGCACATATTCGGTCTAATTGCAAATCATAATAGGAGATATAGTTCAAAAATAATTACCACTAATTGCCAAGCAAAATATAATAATACTAAAAAAATATTGTTAGTGACAGAAATAGATTTACTAATTCGAGCTGAATGTTGAAATGTATTTTGTATTATAATTAACGAAAATTAAATAGTAATTATTTTATTATATATCAGGGAAGATAGCAATAAAAAAATGAGTAGGTACTTTAAATTGCACAGGATGAGTCCACGATATAAAATTCAAAATTTCAATTATTTCGGGAGTTATAAAAAACGTTTAAAGTTTAGGGAAGGTAAATATATACAGTTTAAACTTATTTTTGAGTATACAGGGTACTTAACAAAGTGTGCCGGATATACCTAACATACCTATATGTTTTTTAAATGTAACTATTTTTACTTTAAATTTACATTCTTGGTAAAAACTGTTTAATTTTCCATTATTTTCAGTATTTTTTATAATTTTTGCACAGATATTTTTTAATTTTTCAGTTAACATTCACGTCACTTAACTTCCGTTAATTGAAAAAGTGAATAATTATCAACCACAGACAAATTACACAAATTTTTATGAGCGCGAATTCAAATTTAGTGCAATTTTTCACTTGAAGGTGTTTAAATGCCACTTTCTAGAAAAGATATATTTCTATTTATAGTATGTTATATTCATTTTATTGTTAAATACGTTAAAACGTTAAAACAACATTTTTTTTGTATTTTGTTTCTTGATAATTAATTTGCATATAAATGAATGGAATATAATTAATCCATTATTATAATGGTCGATAATGAATTATTACTATTAAATGATGATGACGATTATAATAGTATTTGTTTTTCCAGCGAGATGAAAAATACCATACGATCGAAACAAAACGGCGTCAAATAGGGCTGGGGGATGACAATCGATGATAATTTTGGCGAGGTCAAGCCTTAGACGTTGGCCTTAAGAAGGTTGTAACTTATTTTTATATTGACCATGTAGTTTAAAATTAAAAAAAAATTTTTTTTTGGAAAAAGTGGCTCACCCCTATAACTTTTTTATTTTTTAGATAAAAAACTAGATTTGGTATGTTAGTGTATAATAAATTAGGACTGAATGATGTATTTAATTGTTTTTTGTCACGTTGACATATGATATGTCATTCTATTCAGAGTGTCATTTTCTATCGAATAAAATAAAAATATACCGAGGGTGCCATTTAAAAATCAAAAGTTGTAGTCATTTCTGGTGAAATAGGAAGTGACCAAAAACAATGGAAAACGTCAATCAATTCTAATTTATGTCATATACTATCATACCAAATCTCGTTTTGTTATCTGAAAAAATAAAAAAGTTATAGGGGTGGTTTGGTACACCCGGTATACAACATGTATACAAGAATTTCTGACGAAGAATAAAACACAGATTGCATACTAATGTATTCTGAAAAAATTCCAAACGAAACTTATCACGAACGCGTCAAAAATACTTTTGAAAATTATTTACCCATGTAAAGAGTTAGAAAACAATTGCTTAGCTGATAGGAATGTGTTTTGTTCCTGAAACATCGATCTTAATAACGACATCGAATATTACAAAAACACACACTATCAGCAATCAGTGCCCAAACTTTACAACTAACAGCAAAATAAGAACAAGTGATTTGGTTAGAAAAATATGTATCATCAGGCATCAGTTTGATTAATCATGAAAAATAAGATAATAAGAACAAAATAACAGCGCTTTCAAGATAGCCGTCGGACGAAATCATCCGGACGAAAAAATAGTGTTTTAAAAACTCGATATTATAAAAAATCGGTGTTAAATGCCCGCCTCTAAATGTTTGGTTATTTTCTGATGTCACTTTCGTATTTAAATTTGGATAGTTTACCGAGAAATACACATTTTTGGAATTTTTATGTTATATTTACGTCAAACGAATCCTGTTCGATCTATTTGTTCTTGTATTGAACAATACGATTATTATAGATGCGCTATTTGATCTAGGTACTGTACGGTGTAGTCATGGTCTATATTTTTCAGTAGTTTCGATCAACAGTTAGAAATAGTATTTACCATAACATCGAAGAAAAAAACGGCGTCAGAATTGGCGTGGAAATGTAGATAGTTGTCGTTTTTTTTGTAAAATTATATTGAGAATGTATTAGTATGTTATATTCATTTTATTGGTCGCACACACAAAAATCGTCGTTTCTAAGTCAATTTGACGCGGTTTCTTCGATCATATCGGCAGCTTTATAACGAAAAGGCGTATCTCGATTTTTGCTACTTGAAGTCTTTAATTTTTTACTAGTGTTTTTGTAACAATACTTAAACGGAGACTTTGAGGAAATGTCCAAAGATAAATTGAGCGTAAATTCTAATAAATAATTTATTTTATCCACGACTTGTCTATAATTTGATTATTATACATGAGTTTATGAAATAATAATAATATTCATTATTCACTAGTGAATAATGGTTTCATTATTCACCGCTTCCACGGATACCTCGATCCAAACTCCAAACAAGAGCTGTCAAACATTACCATTAATGTAAATAAATAACTTTTGTTTTAATTAGTTAAAGCTAAATTAGTTAGCTACCTAGTTAAAGAAAATTTCAATGTTTTGTTTCCATGTTACTTACTCGTTATACTCGTTCAATATTTTTTTGACATTAAAAATAAAACTTATATTAATATTATCTAAATCTTTTTGACAGTCCTGGATAAAGTATAGTATTCTACTCGCATATAATGGCTGTTATTCACTGGGATGATTTATAGCACTCGCCTGCGGCTCGTGTTATAAACTTCATCCGCGTGAATAACAGCCACCATTATATGCTCGTTGAATAATATACTATTGAGTTGTTTAATAGAGATAGACCTTTTTGTTTTAATATAATAAATTTATTACCGACCGAATAGTATACATACGCCTGTGTAAAATAAATGTAAAAATGATGATAAAGTGTTCATAATAAGAAAAAAAATAATACAATAGTCATTCTAGACAAATAATACAATTCTAAAACAAAGACAATATTCATTCTAGAAGTAAAAACAATAATAAATGGAAATACTCTTATCTAGCTTATTTTAATAATATTGTTTTTTGTACGAAAATATTTTTTTAAGTACCTACTAATATATTTTTAGTAATTATTTAATTAATTGAGGCAATGATTTAAAATAAAGCATCTTCTGGTGCCTTCTGGCCAATCTAGAAAAACCTTAGATTATTCTTAAAACTTAATAATGTTAAAAACCTGACTCTGAGTTAAAAACACTAATTTTTAATCAAAGAGTCTTGAAAAAATAGATTTGGTCGTCTAATGTTTTTCGTGTCTTTTCCTGGCCGATTAGAACGTCATATTTTAATCGCATTTTTAATCATATCTCATTTTTCTTCAAATGGAACGAGGGTGGCTCATTAGCATATTTGAAGAAAGCATTGTTTTAAGAATAATTTGGTACCACACACTTGGTATTTCGAGTCAAATTGTCGTTATGAACCGCATGTTACAATTTCAAATAAACCATATATGGTGACCATATGCAAAAATGTCAAAAGTTGACATACGATATGTCATTCTAGTCAGAATGTCATTTTCTGTAAAACATTCCGAGGGTGCCATTTAAAAATCAAAAGTTGTAGTCATTGCCGGCGAAACAGAAAGTGATCGAAAACAATTGAATACGTCAATCAATCCAAATTTATGTCATATATTAACATACCAAATATCGTTTTTTATATCTGAAAAAATAAAGAAGTTATAGGGGTGAGCCACTTTTGAGAAACATCCAGTATTTTGAAGTTTAAAATACATGAACATTTTAAGATGCCTATGTTTGATGCTGCTATTTTGAGTAATAGTGAGAGTAATAAATTTTATTTTAAAAATTAATAAAATTGTTACGTTATTTTTTTTTTCGTTAATGCAGTATGGTTAAGTTCTTCGACCTCTTCCACTTTCGATTTCTCACTATCTATTTCCGATTTCGTTTTTTTTCTCGTTCTATTTACCCAATTTTTCGCACCCCAGCAGATCAATTATCTACAAAAATCGTCGTCCTGTTTACCTTTAAAGTGACATACTCGTACAGCGTGGTTCCACTTGGTTCTATCTTTCTTCCTTCTGTTTTTCTATCCGAACGCTGTTGGAGGAGCAAATTATGTACGGTAGACGTGTATAAGGTACGTACGAAGAATAAAAATTAACCAACCGTCCCATGTCACGCTTTGGTCGTATACAGAATCACAATCGTGTGTCTTTTAGTCGATTTGAGGTATCTTTTTAAGGTTGACGCACCTAAAGAGACGGTACAGACGCGAAATTTACTGTTTCTAAGTATTTTTTCTTAAAAAATGTATTTGAAAATGCCAAAAAAGCGTGTTATAAGTTGAGGCAAGATGTTAACGATGCCACCGCGAAAGCCGCTGAGACTTAGTGAAAGACGGGGTATATTGAGGCGTGAGTGTGATTCGATAGATCTCGATTCGTTGGAGGAAGAAGAGGTAGATAACGAAGAAACAAGAAATGTAAGTTATGAAATTAGGAAAGCAAGTGATGACACAAAAGACGCTAGAACTTAGAGATCTATATATTTTTGTTGACTTGATAAATAATATCATGCTAATTTCTTTTGTGGTTGCGGTTCAATACTTTGGAGGTGCACATCCTCAAAAACAAAAGTTGATTAGCTCCAACGTCCCACTAGTCAACTCTCATGCCTGCCCATACCCAACGTTGCCGTTTGTTGTCCCTTAATTTCGCAGTTCTATACGCCCATAAACAATAATCGGTCGGGCATTTCGCGTGCAATCTAAAGAAAAAAAAACTTAACCCACACACCTACGGCGTATTTTGATTGCTATTATTTTGTGTTATATTTGTATTTTTTATTGATTGCTATATTTATTGCAAATAAATAAAAAGTCAAAAACAGCTGTAAAAAAATAAAAAAGTTTTGGTTTGGGTTGGGACACGATCCTGGGACCTCTCGTTCCCGAAGCGATGGCCTTAAGGCCTTACCAATGGATCCACAGCTACTCTTGCAAAATTGGCTATAGCTAGGCGTTACTTTCCACCGTTCTTAAAACCGTTCCTAAAATTAGGCGACAGCAAATTTGGTATATATGGGGGCAATATTGTTTGGTATGCGATTTGACTAGTAGGACGTAGCTTCTGAAAAATTGTTACTTGATGACGCTTAAAAAAGGTTTCTCATTACAAAAATCAAATCGTCAATCTAAAGCAGCATATTATAATATAATAATAATAGCTTCCGTATATATCGTTTAACGCCTTGGGAGTAGCAAGGTACAACTTGCCATGCTAGAGCCGTTCGGTATACAAGGAAGGTAATGTGGCTAGCACTACGCTTCAACCGCCTATTATTAATTATTACCTCAGGATTGTGAATCCCAAGTACTCATTTAAGGCTGTGTCGCGAAGTTGGTCAAAGAATTCCTAGAGAAGCTCAACAAATTAGTCAAAGAAAATAAAGTCCTCCTACTCTGGGTGCCTGCTCACAAAGGGATAGAAGGCAATGAAAAAGCAAATGATCTAGCTAGAAAAGGAGCGAACACTCCACTAAGTGGACCAGAACCGTTCTGTTTTCCAAACGAGAACCAACTGAAAGCGGAACTGAAGAATCTGGAAGACTCCATCCGTAACTTGGAATGGGTGTCCTCCAACGGTCTAAGACAGTCGACAAAGTTCTAAGGCGATTTAAGGCTGTGTCGCGAAGTTGGTCAAAGAATGCCTAGAGGAGCTCAACAAATTAGTCAAAGAAAATAAAGTCCTCCTAATCTGGGTGCCTGCTCACCAAGGGATAGAAGGCAATGAAAAAGCAAATGATCTAGCTAGAAAAGGATTGAACACTCTACTAACTGGACCAGAACGGTTCTGTTTTCCAAACGGGAACCAACTGAAAGCGGAACTGAAGAATCTGGAAGACTCCATCCGTAACTTGGAATGGGTGTCCTCCAACGGTCTAAGACACTCGAAAAAGTTCCTCAGAACTTACGACCGAGAAAAATCAAAGGTTTTCCTTGATTTAAGTAAAAACAATCTTCGGATTGTCAGGGGGTTTCTTCAACAGGACACTGTCTCCTCAACGAACACCTCAGTAGGCTGAAACTGAGAAACAACGGCGAATGCAGATTTTGTGGGGAAAATGGGGAAACACCAGAACACCTTATCACTGAGTGCGCCGAGACGACGACCATTCGTGCCATGAACATTGGTAGGTCTGATGTCGAGGATGGAGAGCTGGTCTCTGTGGAGCCGTCTCAGATACTGGCTTTTGTTAAAGCCCTGAGACTGTATGATGAGTTATAACTCGTTAGGTCGCGGTGATTAACTCCTCTCCTGAACATTCTACATTCTACAAGGCTGTGTCGACCTAGGCCCCAAATTAAAGGAACTTAATTAATCTAAAAAAATTCTATATGGGGTTTTTGGGCTAATTTATTCAAAAACTAAAAATGCTGTCTGCTGATATATTTTGTCTTTAAATATTGCGCGGTAATGTCATATTTATAGTTCGTGAAATCCCCAATCTGAAACTGATGATTAGACGAGCTGCTTTACAATGTGCAGTTTAAGGCTGGAAGCACACAGAGAGAGAAAAACAGTTTTAGCCAAACACTTCTTTGACAATATTAAAAAAATGTTACGGTGAATCTAAGAATAATGCGTTTATTTTCTTTGTATTTGGGACATAATAATATTATTAAATTTGGTCTGTGACTGTGAAATAATAATTATGCTGACGACCTAATTTAAAAAAGATTTTGCGTTTTTACTTTATAATCATTTGATGACCAATTACTTCTCTAAAAGTTACGGTGGATACGAACGCACTTTTGTTATTATTTTTGTCTTAGTCCGTTGATATACGGAACACATATTTGATTTTTCTGTGATGTCTCCTTCAATGTCATCAATCAATGTAATTAGCTTTTTTCGTTTTCCTGTTATTACCGATTCTGAACCGTCCTAGAATTGAGATGCGTATGCGCAGAAGGAAATATGAAGACATTATTTCATTTGCGCATGCGCTGGAGAGTTCTAGGACGATTCAGAATCGATAATAACAGGAAAACGAACAGACCTACTATGTCTTGGATAAGAGGAGGAAATAATCACCGCGACCTTACAGATCTATTCTGTCTCTCTTCCTTGAGTTATAACTCATCATTCAGTCTCAGGACTTTGAGAAAAACCAGTATCTGAGACGGTTTTACAGAGGTTAGTTCTCTATCTTCGATATCAATCGTACCAAAGTTTATGGCACGAATGGTTGTCGTCTAGGCACACTCAGTGATGAGGTGCTCTGGTGTTTCCCCATTTTTCCCACAGAATCTGCATTCGCCGTTGTTTTTTTGCTTCAATCTACTGGATCTACCCTCTATGAACACCTCCATAGAGGGTACATTGTCCTGAAAACCCCGTGACAATCTTGTTGAGTGTCCTTACTTAAATCTAGGAAAATCTTTGATTTTTCTCGGTCGTAAGTTCTGAGAAATTTCTTGGAGTGTCTTAGACCCTGGGAGGATTCTCATTACAGTTTGCGAATGGAGTTTTCCAGGTTCTTGAGTTTTGCCTTAAGTTAGTTTCTACTTGGGAAGCAGAACGGTTCTGGCTTAGTTTCTACTAGATCGTTTGCTTATTCATTACCTTCTATCTCCACCTGGGACCCACCCTTAGTAAATGCAATCCCTTGGTGGGCTGTCATACAGAGGCATTCTAGGCATTCTTTGACCAACTTCGAATTGATGGTATTTGATCGCTTTTAGTGCTGCTTAACCATCGGATAAGATGGTTATTAGTGGCGATTTTATTAATAAATCGTGTTTGTACGGTTTTGGATTTTTTTAAAAAGTATGTTTTATGTGTATAGGTGCTTATGTACTTTGAGTAAAGCTCGATTTTTTTCTTAATGATCTACAATACAAACTTTGTCTCAACTGATTTTACCGTGGTGGCTAGAGATGGCTGTTTAACATCATAACCGTTATTGCGCGTTTACAATAAACAGAGCATTTTGCTTTAAAGAGAGCATACATCTTCCAAATAGTCAATACAAACACCAAATTCGTATCTTCTCTGTAACAGCAGATATTATATAAGAGAGGAAGTAAAGTTGCTATATGACCTGTAATGAGGAAAGGATAAAAACCTTTATGGAATTGGAATCATGGAATTAATCGAAATATCGTCCATCATTTTTAGCACTCTTTGCAGTGTGAAATAAATTGCATAGATTTGCAAAAACTCTAAATCTTATACTCGACTTCACAAATAAAAATCCAGGTATGTTAAATCCGGTGGCCTTGCTGCATCGTCCTATCCATCTACCAGGATACGTAATATTGAAGGTATCCTGCACATTCATAGTAAAATCAGCCGGACATGTTGAAATAGCATTTGTTGTTGAATTCCAAGGGGCACATCCTCTAACAAAATTAACAATTCCTCTACTAAAAATTGTAGATAGTTCACTTAATTCATTTGAATAAATAAAAAGGCCCGATTTTGCAATACTAGAATTCTTGCCCAAACATTTACCGATCTTGACCATTTAACAATCTTGGTTACACTTGGTGTTGGTAGTTGGTGCTGGACAATTTGAATCAAGCGTCGATTTCTTCTGGACTGATTAATTAGCTTCGTGATATCAGCTCCTGTCACTTTATGATTATAGAAAATAGGTTCGATAATTGCTTATGAATCCTGGATGTATGTTCAGTGGACCACTACACTTATTTCATTAATTTTATTGCACATAAGTTCATAGCAAATTCGATTAAATATCTTATAACAACTACTGGTTAAGTAAGATCGAATTTCTTCTAGGGCAGAGGTTTCTTTGTTCCATATGTTAATGAAACAAACTTAATTTAAAACTTACTTTTACTTTTCTAATTTGGGTCAAAGATAAACGCTCTTTCTTTTAACGGCTGAGTCATAATTTCCCTTTTAAAACATCGAACAATGCAAAAATCCAAATTGCATGTTCTATTCACCACATACACCGATCACGATCTCGAAACAACTATCTTCGAACAATTAGCCGATATATGGAACCTTTTACTTTTAACAGTCCTTATCAGATCGTTTTCATTCAAAGTGGAAAATAAATTTCTAGCATTTCCTTAGTAATGTGCATCCATTCGGTAACTTTCCTCGTTTTTATTAGCAGGCAAAAACGATTGTTACTAGGAATCATAAGTTTCGGTTCTACGTTTTTACGTTTTTTTGCTACTAAAAACTCCTGAAAGTTGAATGAAAGCTACAGACATTAAAACATAAAAAAATGAACCAACACTGAAATATTACAAAATATTTTGTTCGTAAAACTAACTTTAGTATAAAAGCATCAGCCAATAAGATTACTTTTCTGAAATAAATTTCTTTGTCCCCACACGTTATGATTTATACACTTACTCCATTCCAAATAAGGTAGTTTTATTAAAAAAAATTCAGTAGGTAAAAAACTTTCTAAATATATAAGACTATGCAAATTTAATTTCTTCCAAGTTGTCTAAGTTTTTCTTCCAATTTAGTTCACAAGAATAATAGGGGTATTCTATTTCAAATTTACCGCTTATTTTAGAATTTATGGGGTAATACTAATACTGTTATAAAATGTCATTATTGTTTCTTAGTTCGTTTTTAAGATAAAAAAATAACAACCTAATTTTTGCGCCATAGCCAACATCTATCTCCATAATGGTTGATTTTTGATATACAGGGTGCTACAAATTCGAGGTACGAGCATTGGTATCTCGGTAACCGTAATAGATACGACCATGGTTAAATTGGCATAAAGTTGTGCTTTGGGATGTTCATCACGATACCATTAAAAAAGTTTTAAAAATTTCAAGGGTTGCTGAGTTTTTTGGAAAAAACGGATTTTTTTGAAAATCAATTTTATTTTTTCTGTTAATTTTCAAGAAAAACAGCGGTTTTTTGATTCTGGCCCTTTCCCTACGGACCGGCAAATGGTTTTGAATACGGAGTGGTGTACCCTTGTCATCTGTACATCGTTTCCAGATGGACTCGTTGCGGCACAACCCTTAATAAATGAGCTACAATTTTTTTTCTGTTAATTTTCAAGAAAAACAGCGGTTTTTTGATTCTGGCCCTTTCCCTACTGACCGGCAAATGGTTTTGAATACGGGGTGGTGTACCCTTGTCATCTGTACATCGTTTCCAGATGGACTCGTTGCAGCACAACCCTTAATAAATGAGCTACAATTTTTTTTCTGTTAATTTTCAAGAAAAACAGCGGTTTTTTGATTCTGGCCCTTTTCCTACGGACCAGCAAATGGTTTTGAATATGGGGTGGTATACCCTTGTCATCTGTACATCGTTTCCAGATGGACTCGTTGCGGCACAACCCTTAATAAATGAGCTACAATTTTTTTCTGTTAATTTTCAAGAAAAACAGCGGTTTTTTAATTCTGGCCCTTTCCCTACGGACCGGCAAATGGTTTTGAATACGGGGTGGTGTACCCTTGTCATCTGTACATCGTTTCCAGGTGGTCTCGTTGCGGCACAACCCTTAATAAATGAGCTACAATTTTTTTTCTGTTAATTTTCAAGAAAAACAGCGGTTTTTTGATTCTGGCCCTTTTCCTACGGACCGGCAAATGGTTTTGAATATGGGGTGGTATACCCTTGTCATCTGTACATCGTTTCCAGATGGACTCGTTGCGGCACAACCCTTAATAAATGAGCTACAATTTTTTTTCTGTTAATTTTCAAGAAAAACAGCGGTTTTTTGATTCTGGCCCTTTCCTACGGACCGGCAAATGGTTTTGAATACGGAGTGGTGTACCCTTGTCATCTGTACATCGTTTCCAGATGGACTCGTTGCGGCACAACCCTTAATAAATGAGCTACAATTTTTTTTCTGTTAATTTTCAAGAAAAACAGCGGTTTTTTGATTCTGGCCCTTTCCCTACGGACCGGCAAATGGTTTTGAATATGGGGTGGTATACCCTTGTCATCTGTACATCGTTTCCAGATGGACTCGTTGCGGCACAACCCTTAATAAATGAGCTACAATTTTTTTTCTGTTAATTTTCAAGAAAAACAGCGGTTTTTTGAACTTGGCCCTTTCCCTACGGACCGGCAAATGATTTTGAATACGGGGTGGTATACCCTTGTTATCTGTACATCGTTTCCAGGTGGTCTCGTTGCGGCACAACCCTTAATAAATGAGCTACAATTTTTTTTTCTGTTAATTTTCAAGAAAAACAACGGTTTTTTGATTCTGGCCCTTTTCCTAAGTTACTTCAAAAAATCAAAAAACTAATTTCACATTCTCATAGCCACTTTATTAAGGCTATCTGATAGTATTTTTAGATTTTCAAATTAGCTGATAATTTGTGAGATACAGAGGCCAACTTAATTTTTCTAAATACGGACCTGCATTTTTATTTCAGGTTTTGAAAGAACTCGGTCTCCTGATATGATATGCCACACTTAATATGCTTATTTGTTTCGGACATTTGAACATAATTTATTTAAACTAATTTCAAGTCCTGCTCTGTTTTTTTAATATTTAATCTATTTATCGTTATAATATTGATAAGCTTTCAAACTTAACAATGACGTGGGATAAAACATCCAAGAAACTCGTAGCTCGTATCTCGAATTTGTAGCACCCTGTATATAAATAACAAAGTACCCTTTATTTTTATAATATAATAATAGCTCCCGTATATAGCGTTTGTCGGTGTCGACACCGGAACACCGGATAGCCCATATTTCCCACCGGTGTCATCCCAACACCGGTGTTAAAACTAGTGTTCCGGTGTTTGGAACAGGACTACTAGAGTCCCAAACTACTTTTATTTTAATAAATATAGTCGGCTGATGAAATGCCGGGTGTAGGATTCGAACCCACAACCTTGAGATTGGTAAACGAGAGCCTGTACCTCTACGCTACCGGGCACCCCCCTTTATTTTTTTAAAAGTATGTTAAAAGTATCACCCATTAATGTTTTTTTCGCATCGTTTTGAAAAAGCCTGAACCTATATTTCAATAAATATATATTTTTTATTTTTACAGGGAATGGTCCAGACGAATCACCTAACTTTGTCAGTTCCAAATCAAGTACTAGAGAACGCCTCCACTGTGAAACATCTTAATTTAAACAATCTTTGTAAAAATCAAGATGAAAACATCGGGAACTGTTTCGTTGATGAGATTGTGTTGCCAGGGGAATCGCTGGAAAGTTTTGCAGAGTTGCGGGTGTTGAGCTTGAGATCTAACGGTATCCAGAATTTTCCAAACAGCGTGTTGCAATTGACCACCTTGGTTACTCTGGATATTTCTGATAATTCTTTGCTTACCCTGCCGCCGGAGATTAGCAAATTATACAAGTAAGTTGGTGTTGGTCTACTATTTCCATTCTGTAGTATGGCATCTTTCTATTGCCATTATAAGATTTATTTTTCTGATTCTGCTTTGTTTCATAGCTACAGGGTGTTAAAGTCTTAATATTTTATCGATTTATTATAATTTTCTCCCAAGTACTTTTCGAGTTTCGAATGAAATTTTAAAAAGTTATGATAAATGCGACATATTTCATATTTTGAAGCTAAAAAAGTGTCGACATATTTACCAGGGACGTGCATATGGGTTATCACTGGAATATATTTCTAAAAAAAGCATGAACGCCACTGACTTTTTTTTCTCTTGTTAGCGAAATAATGTAAGCAGTTTAATGCTGATTAAAAGTTGTCTCTTGATATTTTGTCGATTTCGGCTTCCTTGATGAGATAAACGCCATTTTATTAATTTGCCTTGATCCAAGTCTAATAGCAAATAGCAACCTTTTAAAAATTTTAATATCATTAACTTGCGAAAGGTTTAAAAAAGTACTCATTGGTTCCTTATCAAAAAACATGAAAAAGAGTTCCTCTAAAATGGGTATGGAAATGCATAGTTTTAGAGTTTTTAAAACTTTTTAAAATTAGTTTTTTTGTAATTATCTTAAATACCATTATTTTTTGTTTGAAATTGCTGTAGGTTAGACTAATAGCAATAATAACTATTAGTAATAATATTCAATAATAAATTAGGTAAAATATATAATTTATTAATTTAATTTTATTAATTTTGTGATTAATAAAATTGCGTTTATTTCATCAAGGAGGCCGAATTCGACAAAATATCAGGCGATAACTTTTAATTGGCATTAAACGGGCTATACGATTTTGATTATCAAAAGAAAAAAGTCAGTGGCGCACATGTTAAAAATATTTCAGTGATAACCCTTATGCACGTCCCTGATGATTCATCGACACTTTATAGCATTGAAATATGTAGCACTTATAGAAACTTTTACTCTCAAAGTTTTATTTGAATCACTAAAAGTACTTCGAAGAAAATTATAACAAATCGAAATATTATTAAAACTTCAACACCCTGTAGAGCTACAAAACAAAGCAGAATCAGACCTACTATGTTGATATGAAAAATAAATCTTATTTTTACGTGAAGAATCTCCCCACGAGAGATGGAAAATGTTTTTTGAAACACCCTGTATATCTATGGCAAACGCAAAACAATTTCGGATGCACGTGATCAACTTTGAGTGACAAACGATGGCGACAGCGTTGCCAGATTCTGATGGATTTATGAGATAAATCTTAATTTAAAAGTGACAAACAATATAATTATTATATAATTTTTTAAAGATTTTAAGGTTTTATTTTTAATTTAATAACTAATATTTTACTAATTAATTGATTTATTTGTTTTATAGCTTATTTTACTTATTACATATTGGCAAAAACTAGTCCATTATGAAGATTATTCTAAGCGTTATTACGGGTTATTTATTTATTGATGTACATCTTACAACGCCATAAGTGGTAATAAAAAGTAAGAAGGTGCTTCTAATGCACAAACTGATAATCACAGAAAACAAAGTGAAAATCTACCATTAACAACTGCTTTGTTTATTTTAATAACTCAAAATATAAACAAATACCCCGCGCGTGCACGGTATCTATTTTCTTTTTCTTACCCAATCTCGAATAATCTACCGCTGCCTCGCAATAGAAGGAACGTGTTCAATTTGGCACACTGACTTCCGTTGTTTCTTTTACGCTTCTTTGATAGACCGAAACGCCGTATAAATTAAAGAATTGCCCAGTACCGCCCCTCCTCGCCCCTTATTCTACGCCTATGGGCCGGCGGGTTTAATTAGTCTTTGGTGGGTGCCCGGTGGTGCTTTTTGGTCAGTTGGGTTTTCTTTATTCGTTTTTTTTTGGTGAAAATTGAAGAAAGCGGAGGAAATCCTTTTGGTGATCGTTTTCGTTTTCATATTGGTGGCGTATTTGATGAGTGCATAAAGTGAATGTGCGTTTTGATGTGACGTAGAAAACAATGAGTTTGGTCTTATGTAAGTTTAATTGAAAGTACTAGTTTTGTTGCTTTATATATTTTATTTTGTGTTGGAATAAAATCTAATAAAATAAAATATTTTTTTAATCTTTTCATAAATTTATTTTGAGATGGAAAATTGAAAAAGTAAAGAATAATTATTAATGTTATAGTTAATATGGAAGCAAAGTATACCAATAACAATATTAACAATAATAAAAACATACAACCACATACACAAGTGTTGTCAAACATCAAGTCCAAACAGATAGAATAATACAATGCAAACATAAAAAAAGAGTGCACTATGTGCGTATATTTGAAGTTAAACTTCTTACTAACAGCTGTTAAATTGCACGATTTGAAGGAGGACCTCTATCCACGTGCCGAGTTTGATTCCAATCGACCCATAATTAAGAGAGAAAAATCCTGATTATTTCGTCCATTTAGAGGCATTTCGAAACGTCGAGGGTATCATCCTGTAGCATGTCCCCAATTATGCCAAAATCGACAGACATTTTTCTTCAATATCAAATCCTTAGTCCCACCCTGATGAAGATGTAAACGAAATTTCGTGTCCAACTTTGCAGGGTAGGACTCTGTGTGCACCGTCGCTCACATAGCCTACCACCAAATTTAGTCGCGATCGGACGACATCAACTTATAACGTTTCTTACTTCAAAACTAACTGTCACAGTGACACGTGACAAAATGGGCTCGAAGAGCACCATCTTTTTATTTTTCATTGACGACATTTCATGCACTATGAATTTTCATCATCAATGGCAAAAAAATTGTCCGATATAAATGCAATTTTGTATGTCGATAGATTGAACCATGGTTACCTTAATCATGTACGGCACGTGTAAGGCTAGGCGCAAATTGAGTCGCGTGTATCGTGTGTGACATGACATGACATGACATGGCGCGACCGGCATGACGCGACGCGGAACTCGCGTTGCTTGGTGGTCCGCGATCGTATAAAAACGGTTGTATAAAAATATCTGATTCGCCATCGAAACAATTATTGTTACTAAACTTTAGTCGTGAATCAGAATCAGATGATGCCGAAATGTAAAGATTAAATGAAAAATGGATTTATCTAGTTTTGCTTAAACAAAACCTTTACCGTTACCTTTTTTGCGCCAATTGCCAAAATGCCAGCTTTGAACTTCGTTGTTTCTATTTCAGCAGGCGTATCCATTTAGAAAAGAAGAAACTACATTGCAAGTACTATATTTTATTATGAAACGTACAAAAAAGGTTATAAGAATATCGGGAACTAGAAACTCTGAATATGGATATTACTAAACGTAAAGGTCATCATCGTCTTCCAAGCGGTCACATTCATTTAGTTCTTCATCCTCGTTTTTTTGACCGATATCGCCGCTACAGAGAATGTCTTTGTACCATAGTAAGTCTTCTTCATCATCCCATCCCTCTCCAAATGCTTGTTGCAACAATTTTTTTTAAGGATTTCTTCTTTTTGTCTTTAATGAGACGTCCCAATTCCATCAGTTCCAGTTATAATTCAGACTCTTTCCTTCCTTTTTTCAAAAGAGTTTTAGGTTTTTCTAATAGACTTTGGTAACGAAAATTTTGAAAACGTGACAGAAATCGGAATTTTCAGAACCTGTTTTTTTTGAAGATGTATTCTTTTTACATCCAACATTCCATCCACCTTTTTTGAAATATCACTTAATTTTTTAAAATCGTAGAGCAACCATTGAGACCCAAGTTTTTACTTGACCAAATCTTAATAATTGGAAATATCGATTTTTGCTTAACTAACCTTCGGATTTATCGACTTTTGATTGGCCAGCCAATTCACAACTCGAGGGCCTGCATACTTGAGGATCTCGGGGTAAATGTTATCAAAATCAGCTACTTTACCCAGTTTCAGCTAAAAAAACACAAAAAAAACCTTTTTCTCGAGTAAAATTTAAATTGAATATAGACAAAAAATCATCTTCTCACGTTCCTTAGGAGAATGCAACAGACTGTTGAAACATACTGACAGTAATTATCACAAGCATCTTAAAATAAAAATGCTATTTTTATATTCACGATAATGAATTACACATGTAAAACAATAAGAACATCCGAGATATTTCTTAGGATTCATAATTTTAACAGCATTGCAGTATATAATTAAAAAATCTAAGAATACATTAGTATACGTCTTTGTTTACCATATGTAACACCAATGAATAGGATATTGTACTAGTTTCAGTTATTTTATTTAAAAATATACCTATTCGTTTTAACAAGAATATTCGTCAGAAATGAATCAGAAGTGCGATTTTTCAAATTCTTTTAATTTTCTCATTATTTTTTAAAGAAAATCTAAATAACCCCATATTCGAAAATAACTGAAAAAATAGATAAGGAAGTTATGGATAAAACAATTTCATCCCTTAAATTGTCTTCCAGAAATAATCTAGAACACAAATTAAAAGTGCAGTATTTTATTTTTTTCTTAAATATGAAAATTTAGTTGCAGATCCTTAAACAATACCTTTTTATTAATATGCTGTATGTTTTTTTATTAATAACTAATAAACTTAGTTTATTAAGAAAATTAGAATAATCATCATCTCTGACTGAAAATCAAAAATATTATTAAAATCTCTTTAAACCATTTTACTAATTCTTCAAGTGGATATTTGCCCTCTGAAGGTTTTTTATATGTATCTATATTTTTTAACTACTATGAAAATTGTGCGTTTACTTCTGTTAATTTACGAGATCATATCTTCTTCAAGATTTTCTATAGTAACCTATTAGGATGTTTATTTAAGTTATTTTCTTTTTATTCAAAGGTTATTTTCGAGTTTATAGGGATACATTTTGACAGTAAAATGAGATTAAGGCTACTTCAAGGTACCATATATTAATATTCCACATCCCGAGGATATTTTTGGTAATTATTAAGAATAAATAAAGTTAGTAAATATGTACAAACGGTGAGCAAAGTCCTTGTCCGAAT